TCCCACACATCTTTTAACGTGTGTGTACTAAGCTGTACATACAACTGATGTTGGTATGTCTGGACTTTTCCCACTTTAAGCACATACAGAGTCCCCAGTCCTCCCTGTAAAGAAATCTACTCAAGAAATGACTTCATTATCTCTGTCTTTATTTTGGTTGAAATCAGAGCTCTGATGAGGAAAAATGAAGCAGAGAGCATATATTTTCCTGCCCACTGCATGTCTGGACAGCAAAGTTGAATGTATAGGCTTTGTATGCCTGAAGCTGGTGGGTGAATTATTCAGGCCAGGACAGAGAGCCTGTCTGTATCTTAGTCAGTACATCATTCCTGGCTCGCTTTTTCCACAAAGAGCCACCTAAATCTTTAAAGAACAGAGACAGCTTGTTGGAGTAGAGGAAAGAAATTCTGTAGCTCTGCTAGCCCATTTTTTTAGTATCTCTTGAATCTTTCTGAGATTCAGGATGTGGTCCCAGGCATGCTGGATTTTTTTCTGCTTTGAAACCAAACAACTGGGTCTAGCTATAGATAAGGGTATGAGAAGGAAAGTTAACCCTCGGCTTGCTAGTACCTTTTGGCTTTATTTCCAGCCTAACTCTGACTGGGAGTGCGACTGGATGGCACTGACTCCCCTTCTTCTGAATGAAGAGAAATACTTTAATGTCTTCAACAGGCTCATCAAATGGAGTGAAGCGCTGCCAAGTTCAGTCTGAGCTGCAGGCCCCAGTGATTAAAAACAGGCCTGTGCCTTGAGGAGCCAGCAGATGAGGCTGTGTGTGACTGGCTCCATATTAGCTTTTCCTTGCAAAGCAGAGCAGTCCCTGACCAGCCCGGTGATGTTGTCATATTCTGGTAGTTTCAGAGATGTTTTACTACATCAGTTTTACAAGCCCTTCTGAGACCTACCTGAAGTGGGATGCACTTTACAGAGCTAGCAGGACAACACCTCCTCAGTCTGCACTGTTTAGCCCTGGGAGACTGAAGTAGGTGCATCTGCTATGTCTCTTGCCAGTGTAGCTGTGGGAGACCTAGCAGTAACTTTCCTGAGGGTACACTTTGTCAAGGCCCCCAGCAGATGCCCAGATGAAAGATTTCTGCAAGCCCAGAACTGTCAGAAGCTCCAACTTGCCATTGACAGTCCTTTTCCAGCCCCACTCCAAAGACACTGCTTAGCTCGCTCCTTCTCTGAAATCTAACACTAATTTCCTTTTCTAAGCCATGGACAAGCTCTGCAGACCCTGCACAGATGAATGATTTCTTCAAGGCCAACTTTCCAGCCCCACTCTAACTGCAGCTCTGTGCTTTCTCTCTCTAAACACCAACCCTAATGCTTTTACTGCCAAAAGACTTGGCCTGGGAGCAATCTTTCTTCTGAGCAGTGGCTGGGGGTGTTCCTTGTCTATGGCTCAGCAAAAAAATTAAGGGCTAGGATAGAGAGAAAGAAAAATCATAGAGCTGCAGTGTAATTAGGGCTGTCAGGGGAAGTTGCAGTTACCAACAGACTTGGCTTGGGCAAAATACTCTGTCTATGCAGTGCTCGGTGACCTTTACCAGCACTTCCTTGGAAAATTAAGGTTCAGGGTTGAGGAAAAGATAAAACCTAGATCTGCAATTGGAGTTGGACTGGAGTGGGACTGCCAAACAAAGGTGGGAGGTAGCCAAGAGAACTTTGCTGGGAGAAGTCTTTCACCCTGGCAAAAGCTTCAGGGTCTTTTCTTCCACTCAGCAAAAAATGACCTGTGAAGACTCTGTGATCTCACTTGTGCAGCCTTTTGGCACACACTGTCACACAGGAAGAAACCCACACTTGCACCAGCTCCTTTCACTCATCATACGATAGGTAGATCAGCTTCATCCTCAGTCATGTCAGTCTTGGTTTCATGGCTGGTTTTTCTTGTTACCTATTAGAAATGGTCTAAAGGGAGGTGAGCAGAAGTACAGCAGAAGACTATTACAGTGCCTTTGTTTCCTCCAATGATCTCCGTTTCCATCCAGGATAAAAAGGTGTTAACCAACATCCGTGCCTGAGAAGAGGAGAAAGACATGTTACCCAGAATCTGGTTTTGTGGCAGACACCCAAAGCAGTGTTAATACTGTGCTTGTGAAAGGTCCATCTGCTGCTCCTCCTGAATCTCAAAGCAAGTCACCCTTCTATCTCTGTTATCTTAGCATCACATTCCCTAACCTCTGTGTCAGTGGTCTCTGTTTGGCTGCAGTCAACTTGTTACCTAGGAGTCACTGATCGGTTGATTGTACCTACAGAAAGCTACTGCTGTTGTGATCCAAGTTGTCTGGGAAGGCAAGGACTGATGCCCAAAATGTATTAGAGCATGTTGCTGACCATAGACCAGCCAAGTCTAGGGAAAAGCTTCACACTGCAAGTGGAGATTATGCATGCAGTTGTTCTGTGTGTGCTTGCATATGTGTGTGTCTGACACTGCCTTTGTCCTTGATATGAGTTAAGTTTTAGAACATCAGAACATGAGCTTCTGGAAAAACATTATCTCTGTACCTGGGGAACGCAGAGCATTTACCTCTTTTCCAGAGCCTTTTCTAGACAGGCTTTTTAAGAAACAGGGCTATGATTCAACAAGTAGAGATTTGAGAAAACAGGGCTGCTGTGCTGTATTTGCCCTGACATCTACGACAGCCTGACCTCCTTAAACCTGTATGTCTTGCATCTGGAAGAGTGAATACCATGTATCATTTTAAGGAAATAGATGGGTTTGGTGGGAGGAAGCCTGGCTCAGAGATTAATGATAGAATATGGGGTTTTTTTTTGTCTCTAAGGTGCACAGCTTGGAGTCTGACCCAAGCTTGCTGTGATTAATGCTGAAGGATCTTGGTTTGCATTGGCCTGTGGCCCAGGATCTAACATTCAGGTCAGAGGAAGAGGGAGAAATGGTCACTAGCAGAATAGCATGAAGGATGTTAGACAGGACACATGTTCCTGCCCAGCTTTTCACAGCTGAGGGGCCTGCACTGTAGCTTGCAACTCTAGTTAGCTGGATCATTCCTGTATGTATTTACTATGACAGGCAATGTTGAGAGTTATTCCTGCATGAGCAGGATCAGCAGAGAGACTGAGTTGAACACGCCATGGAGACTTCAGTTTTTCAGCTATGATCTGGATTTTGGAAGTTATCTGAGAAACTGGGCTGAAAAGGTTGTTCTTTCATGGCTGCCCAGCCTCTGTAAGTGCCCTGGAAACCCTTGGACAATGCTGAGCCCCACATACCAAGAAGTTCTGCTGTGCTTCATCATGACAGCAGGGATTATGTAATGACATTACAAAACAACCTGTGCAAAAGCAGGAAGAGATTCCCTGTCCTAGAAAGTGACTTCAGAGACACTCATCTCAGTGAAAATTCAAACAAATGAGAAATGAGAACTAGTAAAACCTTTACTCTGCAAGAAACCAAAAATTTACAGGGATAAAGATAAGTCACTCCCATGCTCCAAGGCATGCCCTTCTGCCAGGATGAGGAAGGAATTTCCTTCGAGACTCCTCATGGCCCTCCAGCTCTGATACTGTAATACAGTTGTGTAGGCTGGGGTGTAAGGAAGGTTTCTGTCTTCTGATGTATAACAAACTGGCAGAGGAAGGAAATTGGACTCTAGGATCCTTCTTGCATGTTTCATTCAGGGAATTGAAACTGATAGTGAAAGGTTTGTTTCGCTGAGGATTCAGCAGGGTTGGACTGAATATAGGAAGCTGGTATGGTTTGACATGATGTCTTCCATGAAGGACAGTGAATGGTGGTTAGGAAACTTCCTGCCAGGAGTTATCAGCCTCCCATGAATATAACACTAAAACAAAAATGGAAAATGTGGTTACTTGCAGAAAGGTAACTAGAGCCGTAAGGAATGACCAAATCCCTTGGCCAGGTATAAGCACATGCATGCATCAGTCTGTGGTCTGGTCTCATCTGAAATTGAGTAGATTCCAGGATTATCTCACTTACTGAGTTCTTACTACCAAAATATGGTTAACTTAGATGCTGTCCTCCCTGACTTCACCACCCCTTGTAGGGTGCTGGACTTAGGGTTTCAGAACACAACTCAGCAGCTGTCCTTTTAGATGAAGCAGCCTCTTAGTGGCAGGGATTGAACTAAGACCTCTGGGTTTTACAGCCTGAGCCATGTCTGTGTTGTTGAAAAGATCTGGTGCCAATAGCGGCAATCAGCAACTGGTATTGAACAGGAGATCCAATTTCCCCAGAGAGAGACAGTGGTGCTTCATACTTGGTGATATATGTCTACAGTAGATCTGACGAGTTATCTAGGCCAGTCTGTTTTTAAAGTATCTGATGCTTCTGATATTTTAAAGATGCAAGAAGTACAGAACACATGATTTAGTAGGAAGGGAATTTTGCATGCATTTTACTCAGTGTTTTAATTTTCATTCAACAATTTTAATGAAAGGAAAAGAAATAAAAATGCAAAGCTTGCAGGATGGTGGGGGGATTTTCAAAATAGTCACTTTTAATATTGACAACTGTATTCTGTCACGTTAGCAATCCCCTGCTAGCAGGATTGCTACCTTTTGGGCTGGGCAGCTGCAAACTGTTGAAGAGCAACTGTGTGACAGTTAAGAGATGGGTGCGTGCAGAAAGGAATTGTGTCCCATAAAGTCAGTGTACCCTTTGTTTTGGCATTCTTGGGACAGAAGATGCAATGGAAGTATAATTACTTAATCCAGATTCAGGACAGCTGCGGATAACCATAAACACAATCTTAACCCCACCTTCCATGTGTATAATGAGATATAAACTGGATTAGGGCAGAGGATAGTTTGAAGCACTCTTAAGCAGGAAAAAAATCACTCAGCGTATAATTCTTGGGTTTAAAAACAATTTTATTCTTCTGGGTCTGTTAGAAACTGAACCTTCACACAGGTTCACCCCTTCCATGTGAAGGTTTCCCTCATTGTATGATCTGAGCAATAACTCAAGAGGAGTTTAAGCTGACACCCAGATGTCTCTTGCTCTGTGTTGGCAGGGATCTTTGGACAGCGGTTGGAGGACACCGTACAGTATGAGAGGAAGTATGGCCAGCGCCTGGCCCCACTGCTGGTGGAACAGTGTGTGGATTTTATTCGGGAGCGGGGTCTTACAGAGGAGGGGCTCTTTCGGATGCCTGGCCAAGCCAACCTTGTCAAGGATCTGCAGGATTCTTTTGACTGTGGAGAGAAGCCCCTTTTTGATAGGTGAGTTGACATCACCAAATTCAGGGTGGTTTATCTGTGGCATGTAAAATCTGGCAGGCATGGCCTTGCAGTGGCTATCCTAGTTTACACATTCTTTCCACAACATCAGTTGTTTCATTTAAAGGCTTCTGGGGCTTTCTCCTGTGTGGTGTTAGGTGCGAAGGCCTTCATTCAGTTAAGTGCTTGAGCAGGGGAAGAAATTGAGCCCATAAATCTAGATGGGCCTTACTCCAGTGTTTCAATTTAAGCACATGTTGAATGAAGTGCATTGCTAGATTTGGGTGCGGCATACTCAGCAGTGGGTGGGATCCCACCGTAGAAATGGATATGGCAGAGGTGAAGTAGGTGTTTCACTGCTTTCAGATTTTGCGTTCTCCCTTGCCTCAACCACAGCGGATCTGCCCAGGTGCAATACTTGACCTCTTCCCCTTCCTTTGTCACCAGGCTTCAGAGTAGTCACCACCATCTCACACATGTTCCCTGGCTGCTATGTGTGCAATGCATAGAATTGGTCAGCATGTCGTAACAAAGCACTTTCTGACCCCAGAAGAATTCTTGGCCAAAATTATTTTTTTGGGTCCATGATTTCAGCAGCTGAGATGGAACATTTGTTGAAAAACTGAGTATTATATTTTGATTTTCAACAAAACTTGAGTCAAATATTTCTGAAATAAAAATAGCAATTTTGCATTTTTCTTCTCAGTATAAAAATACTGAGGTAATCACTCCTTGCCTGGTACAAAGTCATGCTAGCTGTCTTTCTGTCCTACTGACATGCCAACCTCAGGGAGCAGCAAGGGCCAGCTGCTCTGCAAAGCAAAGTGAGCCAGGAGCCCAGTGTGGCAACAAAGATGGCAGAGGCAGTGACACAGTCCAGTGATCACCAGGCAAATCTATAGTGATGAGACAGATCCAAGATCAGGATAGGTAATCTGTCTGTGAGTCAGGGTCCAGATCCGGATCAATAGGGTCTGTAGCCAGGCACAGACATATCTGTGAGGTAGTGGGAGTTGTAGCTCAGACACAGGATAAACGGTAGACACTCAGCTTAATATCAGCTCCCACGGGAAGAGTGTCAGCCCTGGCTCACAGCACTCTGTCCAAGGTCAGCAAGGGAAGGAGGGCAGCTCTCAGCTGAACTATCTCTACATTGGCCCTGAGCCCAGACAATCAAATCATCCAGAGGGTGGATGCTCTCAGGGCCCTTGCAGCCAAATCCTGCCCATATTCTGTAACTAGCATTTCCTTCCCTCATATGTACATGCTACCCAGAGTGAAGGTCAGCATTGTACTAACCTAAATAGTGCATTGAGAAATGGGCCTTGATCCTAAAAGAGGCCTTGAACTCCAGGGATATTTGGATCTAAGGCCATTGTGTAGATCTGGCCCAATCTCTATCACAGGTCCAAAGTGGAATCAGATCTGGGATCTTGACTTGGAGACCTGGCTCCATTTCTTTCTGGAACTCACTAGCAGCACCACTTTCCCAGGTGATGCAGGCAGCATCTGTTATATTTCCAGCACATTAACCTAGGGGATTACTTCCCCTGGACCTGCAGCTAGTCTTGACATTGCCAATAGTATCCCTGCCTACTGCTGCAGGAAGAGACAGCACTCTCCTGCACGGGCAGCACAGTGTTTGGTGTCATCCTGGGAAGAATATCCTTAGAGTTTATTGGGAACATTCTTCTAATTCTTCCCTCCTCTCAGCTTCCCAGACCACCCATCCTCCTTCCTTTGATTCTTAACCACAGACAGTATTTGCTCCCTAAATGGAAGTGTCAAATATTTAGAGATATTTTAATGAAAAAATAGTTTGAAATCATCAGATTGTCTCACTTTATATTTTCTTAAACAAAATCTTTGTATTTTTAACTGAATGTCTGTGTGCTCTAGTTCAGAATTAGAATTATCTTAATTCATGTGAAAGTGAACAAAGTTATTTTGTAAAACGCTCATATTCTGGAACAGGAGTATCTATGGAAAGAATTAATCAGAAATGACAGTTTCACTGTCATGTTGTACCTTAATCTAATCCATACTACTTCATTGTTACGAGGATAAGCCAAGCCTTCTGCCCTTCCCCAGCATTTTTGAAGCAGAAAGCACCTTTATTTCCATAGGCATTTGCACTGGCTAAATAGATCAGTGCTAAGTCTCACCTTTGACAAAGGCAATAAAGATCTCCATGAAGGAACGTCTGCGTTTTGGGTGCTTGATTTGAAATGTGATAACTGAAGGTTCAGTGCAGAATTAAAGGAGGCAAGCCTAAGGCTACCCAAGGAGTGTGACAGCCGAGGGCCCCCCCGTCATTGGTTTTTGCTCTTTGCACCAGTCCACTGCAACTTGTAGGCTCAGCTCTCTGGTCTTTGATATGTATAGTCACAGATAGTGACAAGGGCGAAACAGTTCCGCCCTGGCTAAGTGACATGCTTCTCCTCCTAACGAGCATAATTTTCTCTATGTGTAACTAAAACTATCCATGTATGACCTAGGATACCTAGGTAGTGTCAAATATTTTCTACAAGTCTGAAATCCATATGCTCGTTTCCAAATCTGGTGCAGTGAAAGGAATATCCTTTTTTTTTGTTGTTTTTTCTCTAGTTGAAGTCAGTGCTTTTAGGTGTCATTTGTGTCTACAGTGATCTTCCAAATGCTGGACACTGACTTGCACCATGGTGGATTGGATCTCTGTGATGACTGACAATTAAAATATTGATTTTTAAAAGAATTGCATTTCCAATTTGGATTTAAAATTCCTATGTATATTTTTATGAAAGGCCAGGTGGTGTTTCGGAAGCATCTTCAGCAGTCTGCTCCTATTGCACTTTCATGCCACTGAAAGTTTGGCAGGATTTCACATACCCTTGTGGATGAAGCAATAACTGCAGTCAGCGGACCTGAAGCTGCAGTCTGGGCTCTGCTTCTGAGCAATAGTCATTTCCACCATCCATGCCTGAAACTCCACACCAATAAGAGAAAAAAGGAATAACGGTACTGACCTCATTTATAATCAACTGAAGAAAACCACTATGTGAAACTGTGGTATTCTTAAGTATGATGGAACTGTTTAATAGGAATAGCTTTTTCAGAATTAGTACCAAGTGGTAGCTGCTGGTAGCTTCCTGTTGTAATTTTTCCTGTTTTGCTTTATCTGTGTGTTCCAAAAATGCTTAAAAACATACTAAGAAGAGGAGATTTATCTTTTTGATAGAGGTGAGGATTTGAAATTCTGTTGCCGCATGATTACTGATTTTTTTTTTTTCAGAGTTCTTTAAAGAGTGTCAGGGCAATGGTGGGTAGTGGGGAGCAGGTGACAGAATTTATTTAGACTTCAAATTGTCAAAACCGTTGATGAGGTCATCTGCAAAGATTAACAAAGTTGTACAACAGCAGATGTGGAATGAGGGAGAGGTATCGCCATACATCAAAAGCTGGATAGGAAATGGAAAGAGAAGAGCAGGTTCTTCTTCATCATGGGATCTGACACCTCAACCCCAACTTAAAGCAAAGGACAGAGAAGAGGATGAAGAAGTTCCTGGAGTGGGAGAGAAAAGCAAAGCTGACATCCCAACATAATAGGTGGACTAGGAAATGCCAGATACCCCAGCCTGGGGGATGAGATGTGACCGGCAAGCTGTGGAGCCATACCAAATGGCAATAGAGGGCCTGGAGGAAATACAGCTTCTTCCATTTTTTTCTGAATAATTGACCAGGACACTTGGGAGCCTGGCCTGTCAGATGCTGGTGGGTGCTTTCTGGGGAGAATATCAGGCAGGAAGGATCAGTGAGAGGATCAGAGGTTATGTTTGACTGAACAAGGGTGAAGAGGTCTGTTGTCAGTGCTACATGATCACTGTGCACTTGCCTGGACTGTATTGCTCATGTTCCTAATCCACATCGGCTGAGGAACGACAGCACCACCCTACCTTAAGCAGTATCATGGGCATATCCCTTCCACTGCCCATATTGCCTGAGATGCATTTATATTTTGACAAAATGGGAGATTTCCCTCATTCCCAGGTAGGCGCTCCTGCCTAGTACAAACATGGCAGAACAGCTTCCTTCAAACTGTGTCCTTTGTCCCTGTCCCCGAGATGGATCTTGATGCACCCCCAATGAAAGGCATCAAGCTTTGGGGTAGTGTGGGTTTCTAAATTTCCTTCCCTCTTCTCTATTGCAGCAACACGGATGTTCACACTGTGGCGTCCCTCCTGAAGCTTTACCTTCGAGAGCTGCCAGAGCCCGTCATCCCCTTTGCCAAATACGAAGACTTTCTTTCTTGTGGACAGCTACTCTCAAAAGATGAGGGAGAGGTCAGTGATCCTTCTAATCTGCCTTCTTCTACCTCAAAGGTTGTTCCCAGGACTCAAGGTAGTATAGCTTTCTTCTTATCACTCTTCAGTCCTGATTTAAATCAATGAAGCTCCTGGGAACCTTTCCCTGAATATTCCTGAAGCCATGAATTGGGCATTAATATTGCAGGCTCCTGCTTGAAGCAGGAACTTTTTTTGAAGGCAGTCTTGTAGCCTGGTGCTTCTTTTTTCTGAACAAATCTGTTCTGTAGCATAATCAGCAAGAGATGCAAGGTAGGAGATCTGGGTTCCTTTCTTGGCCCTGCTGTTGACTCATTAGCAAGCTGTATGAAGTCATTCCCTTTTTCTGTGTTTCATGTTCTGCTTCCCAAAGTTTTGGTGGATGAGATGTTGATCAGTGCAGTGGTCTTTGTATTTCTTAAAAGAGAGGCAGCACAAAAGGGCAAGCTATGGTATCCCAAAAAGGTGGGAAATAGTGCTGTGAATACTTTGCCAGAACTTCCTTATGATGTTCCTCTCTTTGGTTTCCAGGCAGGGAAAGGGGCTGACAGAAACCTTCAAGTCTGTGGCAATCATGGAAATTTTGATTCACTGCTTGGGAGGAGCAGGATAATTTACAATATGATTGATTGATCTGTTTCATCCATATTGTTCCTCTTTTAGTGGTGTCTGAGCTCTTTGCAGACTCTGAAGGCACGTCGGGTCTGGCCTAATGCGGGTGTAACTGTGCCACTTAAAACAGAGATTTAAAGAAGCCTTAGTGGTTGTTACTAGTGTCAGCTAAAGAAGCAGAGGCCTGAGGATTTATAAATTGCAGTCCACAGTTCCATCCCTTTTCTGTGTGTGGCCTCAATAATGTGCTCACATCTTTGTCTCTAGTGGGGGACTGTAAAAATTTTTCTTTACTGAGAGTCTGGGGTTCACCTTTAGTTAAGTGTCAGAAGGCTCTGGGGATATTCAGTCCTCCATGATGCCCACAGGCAGATGGTTTTTTGCATGCATCAAATGTAGCATATCTGGTAATGTCAACTTTTTATTGATAAATGGCAGGTTTGCTACTATCTATAGTCACAGGATGCATCCTCTAGCCAGCTCTGAGAAAGCAAATTTCTGTGCATGGCACAGCGTATTACCACACATAGATATGCATTTGCATTCTTGACGCAGCCACATCAGTGTGTCAGTGCACTAGTGTGTTGTCTTTCAGTAAGTACGGATATGTGTCTACTAGGTCCAAAACTGGCTCATTTTCTGCATTATCCTCAGTAAACTCAGGCATCTCTGCAGGGTGCTATGTTACAGACAGCAAAACAGTTGATTTCACAAAAAACAGCAGCATTTCTAAGGCAGTGGAGCTGGTTTCATTCTGGTCATAAGATGTGCAGACTGGGAAGCTTTGGATCCTTTAAGCACTATTGCACAAGAGTAGAGACACTGCCAAGTTGGGCAAACATAATTGTATATCACTGCTCAGCTTATTAACTACATAGTTTGCCTGATTTTGCCTGCACAGGCTGCAGCAGTTTGGGAAGCAACATCTGTGTTGGTTTTGTGGGAGCAAGGCCAGACTCCTATGACTTGTAGTGCAGTATTCTCTTTGGATTAGAAAGGCGATGAGGAGTGCTAGATAGCCAAAATGAAAGCTTACAAAATACGGTACTGCTGATAGCACAAAGTTGTCTTGTTAAGATGTTGTTGTAAACATAAACTTTTTTTTTTTTTTTCTTTTGGTCAGGAAAATTTGGAACCTCAACAAGGGCTGTTTACTTTTTCAGAAAAGAAGGTGGAGTGCACACACCAAGGGTGGAGAGGCTGTACGTGCACAGTAGCATGTGGAGCAGAATGTAGTATACAAAGTCATACCCAGCCTGTTTGGCCCGACTTGCCTCCCACATGGAAAATCCGCCTGCTCAAAAATGTAGCACAAAATGAAAAATGCTAAGCACAGAATTTCAAAATCCAAAGTTTAATTTTGAGAAAGTATTGAAAACAAAATGCAATATATTGTTTTAATTTGAAGTACTATTTTGTTTTCATTTTTCACTTGGAAGTTTTGAATGACTTTTGGACTCAAAATATAATTTTCTTTAGTTTTGTACACACACCCCCACCCCCCACTCCAATAAAAATGGAATTACTTAAGGCAAAAATAGACATTCAGATAAAATTGTTGGCAGCTCGCGCTGCTACACTGTGACCATAGATAGGAATTATTATGATGTTATCTTGGCCTAATCTCCATCTGAAGCAAAAAATACTTCAGCACTGCTCTAAGTTTTTCATTTTTTATTCAGATTACTGATCATCTCCATTCTGTACCCAACTTGTCTCTGGTGCTGGGATGCAAACAGAAATGTAGCAGAGACCTTGGATTATGCTGAGGCCTCAAGGTATCTCAGCAGGACTGAAGTGTTAAAAAACATTTGGTTCTGATCCCAGCTGGTTGGAAGGAGAGATTGAAAATGAAAATTTTAGAGTAAGAACGAGTGAAAGATCATAAAATCTCTAAAAACTCATTTGAATCTGAGCTGACTTGACACAGTAGTATTTTAGCCTTAACTGCTGCCTGCACTCTAGGGACACACACAGCAGTTCAGCATGCTAAGCACATGGCTTTGAGTTTTTAAAGAGAGATCTAAATTTGAGTGAACATCTGAAATGTGGCCGGTTTTCCAGTTCAACTAGAAGGTCCTAATAGGTGCTGACCTGTTACACGCATTGCAAAATCTTTGGGTTTAGGATCACTCTGTGGAAACCACGCATCTGTGGTAAATGAAACTTGCAGCATTTTCAAGGAGGTAAGAGTTATTACTGCAAAATACCACGGTGAACGGCAGTGCAGCGCCTCCGTTGCTTGCTAGGCTGCAGCCATAAGCGTGATCAATGCTATTTTCTAATTATGCAGCAGTTTCTAGCTTGCATTTTCCTTTACGCTTCTGCTGTGGAGTTACTAGGGTCAGCCTTCTGCCATCTGTTGGTGAGGTGATTGGTGGGTACAAATCTGTGACAGAGCTGATAAAAGCTGCAGCAGGAGAGAAGCTTTTTTAACTTGTCAAGTGTTTGTACCTTGACAAAAATGAAGATACTGACTGTGTAATACCACACTTTTAACAGAGCATGGATGATAAATTTTTAGAACCCTTTTTTTCTCTCAGGTAGCATCTTGTAACTTTAGGTCATGTTTCCAGCAGTTCACAACTGCCTGCAGTTTATGTTTCAAAGCTCACTCTTGTATCCAGTGGAGCTATGGTATTTTAGTTCTGAGCACTTGAAATACAGTGCGAAATACCATCCTGATTTCTGTATTTGAAATACAATGGGTTACAGAGCAAAATTCAAGAAGGAATTAGGTCTGTTATCTCACCTATTTCTAGTTCAAACTCCTCACTTGAAAACTGGATGACCTGAACAACTGAGCTTTACCTTCACATCAGTAGCAGCTGTCCTTGATTCAAATATTTTCAGAAGTTTAAAAAAGAGGATTGAGATTTTCAAAAGTGGCTAATCTTTATTAGTGTCTCTATTGTTGTCACTGTTAAACCAGCATATTTTTTAAGCCAAGGAATTAAAAAGGATTTACTGCTTTTAAGAATTGTTTTTTAAGTTTCACTTTTTATTAGAGGATTGTTTTTGTGATGGGACATATAGAATAAAAAAGTGTCTATATGTTCAGGACATTAAGGATGGCGGCAGGAATACAGACTGCTCTCTGGATCTTTCTGATTTGTTTGGACCAGAGAAATCAGGAAGATCTTGCAAGAGGATGGCCAACAGAATTACCTCCCTAACAGTCCTTAATAAATTAGGGAAAGTTTGAAATTACTGTCCAACTGCACTTCTTTGTCATGGAACGAGCTGCTTCTGGAATTTCTCCATCATTACTTAGTAGATATTACTCTTTCCAAATGTGTTTGGGTATCTATTTTCCCACAGAAGGTTTAGTCGTCTCAAAAAATAAGCAAATCCGCAGGGCAGCTTGCAGCATTGACAGGAACGAGGAAATGGTGCTTGGGACTGTGGAAGGACAATAGTTTTCTGAGTCAGAGGTTTTCATTAGATGATTTAAGTAGCTTCAGGGTTTTAAGTCATTCCTCCAGCAAATGTATCATCTTATGTTTTAATGTAAAGACAAAAATTTATGAGGAAGTATGTCATAGCTCAGAATGACTGCAAATGGAAGTAAGTAATTAAAAAGAAAGTAGTTGAATTGGAATGTCATTTAGTGATTTTAAGAAAATACTCTCTTCTGCTCAGTTGAGCACTACTGCAATGTATTTATACCACATTCAATGCCTTGAAGTTTCAAGCAGGCCAGGTGCTGAAAAGGCACATTTGCTGGTACATTTATACGAATGCCAGTGGGCAGGCTTTGAAGACTAGCAGGCCTCACTAATTAAGGCTTCTACATTGACCATTAAAGTTGACAGAAGGATTTCCACTGATTTTGAGAACGGATTCAAGTTCTGAACACTGGGGTTTTGGTAAAGCACAACACACTGGATGACACCTTTTTTAAAGCAAAGCCCCCTCACGTTATCATCTGTTACTCATAGTTTGGACTCTGGAAATAGGACTTTGTAATACTGAAGGAAAGTCATGTCTGCTTTGCATCATTTATATTAATAGCTCTCCTTCTTGTTTTTCCTGTCCCTCAGGGTACCCAGGAACTGGTTAAACAGGTGAAGAATTTGCCCCAAGCCAACTACAACCTCCTCAAATACATATGCAAGTAAGTGAAATTAATTAACACTTGGAAAAGTCACTAAGTTTTGTGAGGCTCAGTCTTATATGCAAATAATTTACTCTGAAAGTATGAATATTCAAACATCGCTTATATGTAAGTTACTGCTCCTATAAAACACGTGGAAGTGAATGTGCAGCCTGCGCGAAGGAAGATCCTGGTTTATTCAAGAGCATAAGCCAAGCAAATTGCTGTCACCCACACCCTTGACAGCAGGCATGAGTGATACTAACCTATTGTATTGTTTATTTTGGAAGCACTTAAAGACCAGTAAAGAAAGGCACTTTCTCCAGGTGCTGCACACTTGGAAGATTTGTAACACAAGCTGAGTAGCAGATGCAGGCAGAATAGCCAGTTTGGCCTTAGCTCTGGTTTGGTAGTGGGGTTGGAAGTGGCTTCCTCTTGGAGTACCAGAAGCTCTGCAGCCTTGTCTCCCCTCATTTTGCAAAGTGGGCTGGAATGTGTTTTGGGAGCTGGAACGGACCATTACCCTAGATACAATGTAGTGAACTTTATGCTGTATTCTAGTAGTAGACACAAACACTGATATGAAGTCCATGACTTATTCAAGAGATATTAAGCCCTTCCCAAGTGTACAGACAAATAGCGTTTCTGAAATGTATTTTTGTAATGCTTTAAAAAATGTATTTTGCCTGTTCTATAGCCACTTGTTTTAATATCTGAGCATCTCAAAACAGGAATGGCTGAGGCGCGGAAATATAATTATACGTGTTTCTAAGTGAAGGACTGAGGAAAGGAAAGGCAAGTAGAATTTGCTTCTGATTTAGTGAGGAAAACTGAGGATTCTTTAGTCTCAGCACATTGTCTGCCACAGGGAAAAGACATGGAAAAAATGGGAGTGCCTAGAAAATCATGCTGCAAATAAAAGCATTCAAAAATTTGCCAAGTGGTGCAGAATGACAAGGAAACTTTTTCCCTGCTAAAACCCATCCAACCATTAAAAAATTAACAATAGTTTAGGAAATGGAGTACAGACAGAGTGAGACTGTTCACTTTTGAGGCCACTGAGTCCTATTTCCTGCTATCGTAGGTTTGCATGTCATATAGGTTTTTTTACAATTTGGCCAATTATGTACAAGCTATTTAGGTGTTTGTTACAGCCTTTTTCTTACTACAACTCCTGGTGGGAGGCTGTTGCAAATTACAAAAACATTAACTGTTAGAAACTTCTTGCTGATTTCCAGCTTACACATATGGATAGCCAGTCTGTCTGGATTTCTTCAAATGCTATCTTTGGCTTGCACAGTCTTCTTCTTGTGTTGATGTTTGCCCAGATGATGTGTTCACATGAAGCATTTGGGCTACCTCTTTATCTGTATTTTGTTAGATTCAAACCACAAAGCTCTTTCCACAGACTGCTAGTTCTCGGTCAAGAAGATGTGTGAAATGTATTTTTACTTCTGTTATATCTGTAAGCGAAAACTGGCAGAAGTCAATCTGTGTAATTGGAGAATTCCTATAAAAATGTGAAAATCTGTCCTTTCATACCCAGTAGAAGGCTGGATCCCTAGTAGGTTGGTACTTCTGGCAGAAACTGGCCTGTCTTTTCTTGTTCGTACACTAGGAGGGATCTGGGGTTATAACTGAGTATCTAAGCTGCATTAGTCCCTAGAAGCATTTCAGGTATCAGGGTGATATAAACACAGGACAAAAATTGTTCCTGCCCCAGAGTGCCTACAGTCTGAGAAGTGACTTCTTATTCCTCTCCTTTGATTTTTCTGGGGGGGCTTTTCAAGGTTCCTTGATGAAGTTCAGGCTCACTCCAGCATTAACAAGATGAGTGTCCAGAACCTGGCTACAGTATTTGGACCAAATATATTACGGCCCAAAATGGAAGATCCAGTGACCATGATGGAAGGTAGGTGCTACTCTTGCGAGATAACACACCTATGTTTTGGAGCTGTAAGAGTATGCTGAAAGTCGTACATTTGTTGGTGGCTGTATCACTTGACTGCACAGTCAGCAACAAGTCAAGCAATCCCCTTCATCAGTGCCTGGGAGGGGATGCACCGGTCGGCCTCTACTACTGACAGGGGAGTGTATCTCCTCTCCACCACAAGGAGATGCCTCTGCCTTGTTGTAAGTTGTTAAGTGAAACTCTCTTTCAACCCACAGCTAAAATGAAAGCTCAGATGTTCTTCAGAAGGACCATATTTAAGTATCAAACTTATTATTTAGTATTGGTGCATTTTGGTGGTTACAGCTCCCTGTAAAAGGGCATCCAGTCCACAATGAAAGGGGTACTGTAGTTTTTTTTTAAGATGTAGTTTGTTTTATTTCAGATGTGTGTCCCACAGATGGCAACTTATTATAAGGCAAACTTCAGAGCGTGGCCTGCCATACTATAGTTGTTCAGGGACTTGAAGACTGCCACAGAGATGTGGGCCATATTATTAAGGGTATATTTGATACCTTCCCCTTAAAGTGGGAAAGGTACAAAGACACGGGGAGGAGAAAAAGGGAGGGCAGGAGCAGATTCTGGGTTATTCAGTATTATGGAGGTGTTGGGGTAGCTGAAACCTCAGTCTTTTGTGTGACGCTGGGACCTCCCCTAGTGGCCAGTTGGCCAGTGTTGGGAAGACTTCCAGCCTTGGCCAACAACGTGCTTTTTGTTCAGCTGGTGTGGGTGACAAGTTTGGGTTCAGTTCACCTCAGGCATTTCGTTATGCAGTTCAGCTGATGGCAGAGGTGCATGTACTGTCTGACAGTGCTGAGGTCTCATGGCCTCTCCTAATCATCGTATAAAAACAAAAACACTACACTAACCTGACCTGGAATTCTGTATTATCACAGACCTGAACTGTAGAAAAATGGGAATCCAGTGACTGGATTTTTAATCATTTTACTCACAAGCAACAGCAGTGGCAATTTTTTGTTTTGTTGTTAATTGAGGATAGAAGATTGGTTAAAAAGAAATAATGGAGAAGTGGAAAGACTCAATACTTTTCAGCTTCAGGGGAAGATGGATCCTCTAAATCAACTGGTATAGAAAAATAGTGCTGCCAGTGCTTAACAAAAAGCACTTTAATTTTGTGTCTCAAAATTTAAACCATTAATTTTAAACAGAAATATCTTAAGTTTTTCAGTTAAAATGTTAGGAATGCCCTTACCTCTAGAGAGGTTTATTTCTCTCCCTGCATTCATAGACATAAAATAGAAGTTGTAGGTAAGCTTAGTTCCTCTTGTTGAATGAGGCTGAAACCTCATTAATAATCTAATAAATTCAGGCTCTTTTCTTGAACTGCTGAGTATGTTAGTCTTACTTCTCTTTCAGATGATACTTAAGGATAGAATTACATGTTTGATCTTTTTAAGGTTTTTCCTCATTTGTAGGAAGTACTTTGTATTAGGTTTGGTAAGTGCTGTTCTCCATTAGTTTGTAATGGTCTACTCCACTACTGGAAAACAATGACAACTCATTTCTGTGGATTTAAATAATTGCAAGTACTTTCACTACATGCTGTACACCTTCTGCAGGTGCATGTATCATACAAATGTCATACTTTCTGCAAGTTTCTCCATACACTGAATGCAGCAGAAGGCCTGAGATGCAATTTATGGTTCTTCAATAAACACTAGCTCTGGGGCTGTTAAGACTATGAAACTGGGTGCAATGTAGTTGTGGAAACCTGCTGGTTGTGGAAGCTGGACAGAGTGGTGCTCCACCCCAGCGAATGGGTTAGTGTGTTTCAGGACCCAGCAAGCGTCTCTGCACAGGGCTTTGCTGTCCTGCATCGATGCAAACACCGAGATTGGTGCTGGCTCTGAACCCCGTACCTTGGTGTGGTACAGATATGCCCTGTTTTCCAGGTGTCCTCCTCCTCTGTCATCCTTAAAGGTGTCCTCAAGCAGGCCAATTTATGAGTCATTGCTAGTGATCATTTGTACTCTGCTGGGCAGCTACTTTCATGAGCTGGAGTGACACCTGCATCCTTCACAGTCCCCATTTCCGGCAAAGGGAATGATTTCAGTCCTGTACAGAAAGGTACAGAGCAGTTTTTTGTGCAGACCCGTTGCAGTGCGTGGTGGTCACAGGCCTGCCTCGCAAGGAGCTCACAGGGCATCTCTCAGACAGGGGTGAGAATCTGAGGTCTTCCATGTCTCATCAAATGCTTGCCTTTGTTTTTTTCCCCATAGGCACCTCACTAGTTCAGCACCTGATGACAGTGCTGATAAGTGAACAGGGTCGAATCTTTGCTGTTCCTCAGGCAGATGTGCCAGGGAGCCAGCTGGAAATCAGACCCGTGCGTCAGCGCAGTACTGTGGAGTGGATCTCTGAGGAGGATGGGGAGGACAGCAGGTCAGAGAACAGCGTTCCCAGCCCTGCTGATTTGCCTTCTAGCAATGCTGTGGCACTAGAGGCCACTCCTGGACCTGCGGTGAGAAACACTCCAGAGCACAGTGGCAAATTGAGTCAGCCTGCCACCAGCCCTAATAAAAGAGTGCAGACGCTGCCTCCGTGGAAATACTCCTTTCGCCAGCAGGGAGCACGGTCTGTGAGTCCGAAGCTGGGCAGCTCATCCTTAGATATCCCCAACCTGTCCTCCAGTGGGAACTGGTTGATGAATGGACTGTACTCCCTCCGAGGCCATCGCCGGACAGCCTCTGGGGAACGAGTTAAAGACTCGTGTTCTTTCCAGAGACTCTCTACTTACGACAATGTCCCTTCACCCAGCCTCTCCCTTAGCACACACAGTATGGCCAGCACCACCTGGTCTACATCATCATGTGAAATCTCTGTGATGGACTCAGTCAGCAGCTGTCCAGCCTGCCGGGCCAGTGACTCTTCTGCGTTAAGTTCTCTCAAAACTGAGTGGATAACTCAGGGCTCACCCTCTCAGAGTGAGGTCAAGACTGCAGATCTGGAGAACAGCATCGACAGGTTTGAAGCATGCAGCAGCAGCAGCAGCAGTGAACACAGCAACCCGGCTGCAGCTTCCAGAGACTCTGTCAAATGCTCTAGGGCCTTACAGAGCTTGGTGGTGGAGCTAAAGACAGAACTGAGCAAACAGAGGACTGAGTATGAGACTAGTATCAAAAGGTAATGTCATCTACAGGGGGACATGGAAGTCATCTATCAGCATTACCCCTTTGAAAAGGGGTGGTGTGGGCTACGAAGTGTATCAGGTTCTCAGACCTGGAATTTGGGTTTGGGAGACTGGAGATTTGGTTCTGCTCTTTCCTCACTGCTCTCTAAATCCAACTTTTCTCTCTCTGATCTAAGAGAGTTAAAAAAAAAAGGGGGGATTTCCTTCACATGGGAAACTCCAATATTTCACATTCCATGTTTACCTGTGCAGTTCTGATTTCCACTGAAATGCCAAAATCTGCTCTTTCTAAGTGTCCTGGGAGAAACAGCCAAGCAAACATCTTGGAGGGGAGGGATTCGGACCCAGCACAGTCAGGCCTCAACATGGAACTCTGTTGGTCTGTGCAGGTGCTGAGATTTATACCAAATCAGTCTGAAATCAATGGCTTCTTGCTGCTTTTCCCAACAGCAATATTCTTCAGGAAAGTGATCTTGACTATTCTCCCCTTGTTGGGGTTTGTGGTTTGTTTGTTTTGTTGTTTTTTTTTTTTTTTTTTTTTTGTTTGTTGTTTTGTTTTGTTTTGTTTTGTTTTGTGGTGGTGGGACTGCATCTCAGCTACAACTTTTTCAGCAGTCCTTTTGTGTTGGAAATTCTAGAAACCTTGCTTTTGATTTTTGATGTATTTGTAGTGGTCCTTTGCTCATGGCCAGCCACTGACTCAAAGTAGGAGCAAGGTGCTGCTTGTACAAGATGAACTGTGTAGTTCTTTGCCCACTCTGATGTTTACTTGCACAATTGCAACTGCTGGTACTGTACTTAAAACCTATGCTCAAAAAAATTCCTTCCAGTTTTCAGGAGAGATGTGTGCAAGGTCAGAGGCTGTAGGAAGTAGAAAATATTAATAACTCAGATGTGATATTTATTCGTGTAAGTTAGTAAATTAGGTTTTATGAGTGTAAGTGCTCATTAGAATGACTTTCAGGGAAGTATTCAGGGAAATATGCACATTAAATAGTTTCTTAAAGGAATTAGATAGGTTTTAATATACAGCTATTTGCAAAATGGCACAGTATGTTGTAATACAGAAGAATCGTCATTGGCCTGGGCTCTGCACCACTGGTTCTTTGCACTGAAGAAAGGCTGTCATCTCATTTTGTACAAATAGTTGAGTTCTCAGCTTTTTTTTTGTGTTAAGGTGTTAATGTTATACTCCTTCAATTATGAGAAGTCTGATAGCATTTATATGCTTCCATTTCCAGTCAGTCTCTCAAACATGCTACCAAAAGCACATATGACTTTAGGGACTGTATAGCACAGCATTAGGCTGTTTGATGTCTCTCTTGTTAAAGTAATTTCTCAAAGATTCATCTGAACTGTGATCTCTTCCACTCCTTCTACTCTTATGGTAGGAATTTCACTTGCCAATTTCCTGCTTTATTTTATGATTTCCTATGGTGGTGGCTTGGCAGCCTCTACAGATTTTCTGTCTCTTGCCTTGGTATGTGAGGCTAGAAGGAGAATCAAGGCCATGTAGCAGTTTTAGTGCCCACCTAACATTACAGAGTGGGAGAAAAGCTTACAACTGCCTTGTGTTACAAGTAGAAAAGCTGGTGAGAATGCCACCAGTTGCTAACATGGTGTGTTGTAAAAGGTCTGTGAATAAGGATGGTAGTTCATGGCTTATCTGGGTTTTTTTAGATGCCTACTGATGCAAAATGGGAGGACAAGGAGTGTGTGCCTTGCATTTAATTCTGCAGAGCTGCCCTGGCAAACCTTGCTGTAAGGACAGAGAGTAATAAACAGAAAGGAGACCAGGCTGCAAAACTTTGAAATGTGTTATGTGCATTTTTACCTTCTGCCTGGGGGAAGAGATGGCTTTCCATCTCTTATCAGTTCAGCTGTTCCAACAGAGTCTTCAGCTGTTGATATGAGGAACATCCAAGAAGACCTGTTCTTCATTCCAGCTGTTGAGCAGTTTCTAGCAAACACCTGCCTTCCCCCTTCAGCTGGATAGGGACAGAGAGCACTGTGGCTGGAGGGGAGGATGATAAATTGGCCAGGTCTCACAGGGCAAAGTAGCTAAGAGGAAAATGCTTAATGAACTAATAGTTTCATAAAACCAGGCAAGATGCAATCACTGCCTTTTTGTATTAAACAGGATGACTCCAGCTGTTCAGGATTACAGCCTGAAGGATCTTGCTGTCAAGTCTGAGAATTTCAAGCCAAGTTTTTCAGCTCTCAAAAATTTTGCAATGTTTTTACCACATATGCAACAATCTGCATGTGCAAAAATATGTTCCTTTTGAGACTGCATGAAAGTCGTCTCCTGTGGAAAGACAGGAGCTAAGTAGCAAAGAAGGGAGGCCCCTTAGCAGGAAGACTTTGGGCTGCCTCACTAGCTTTATTTTATTGAAGATAATTTAGTCCCCAAAAGTAGTAATTAGTTCCTTTACAATTGTACGTGTGCTTGTGTGGTTTGCAGAACTCTGTATGTGTAGCAGGGCATGTTTTAATGAAGGAATATGAGCTTTTTCTTGGCACATACGTAAGTGTAGGGAAAGCAGAATCAGTACCTGCCTGGGGCAGAGGTGAGGAACACGTGCTGATGGAAAAGCTGTTATTTCTCATCATCAACTGCCCATTTTCTCTCTCTTAGTCAGAGGAGGCAAGTTTTATGATCTTCCTGTAACCAGTCTGTTCCAGAGCATTTCTCCCTCAAGGTTAATATAATTATCAGGCATTCACTGTTGAGCTTCAGTAATTCATGTTTACGACATGGGACTCTTAAGAAAACTGGAAGTATCCTTTAGGGGACTATTATGTTGTGTATGTAGCAATGCACTAAGTACTGTGACCCTATGTAATTCAGAACACGGACAGCTAGTCTAGGTTGCTGTAACTGAGCCCTAAACTTCGTGGTGGAAAATCTTAATTGGTAGCTCAGGGCTGTAGGATGTAACAAAAATGTTACAAAGGGTGGAGAAGCATTCTAGCTTCAGAAGAGGCCTCATATTACAGATGACAGCTATCTGGGTGATAAAGTTTGCCTTCATCTAGATGGGCGTTTTTTTGCAGACATAGTACACATTTCTGTTCACTCATCAGTGCAGCTGCTGGTCTGCTAGACTTGGTGATCAGGGTGTGACTTTGTAATTTGTTGTGAAAGTTGTGACTTGTGATCATATTGCCATCCTTAGCTGTATGTGAAGGGACAATTTAAAGGGATGCACTGCAGTGCCTGCATAATTGCCTCGTGGTGGTCACAAAATGGAATTCAAACCCTTCTGGGACTGTCACAAAGGTCGTTTGTTTTGTTGTTGTTCAGTCTGTAGCATGCCCTTGTTGAGTGTCATTTACCTTGTCTAAAAATAGCCCCATTCAGTTTCACAGGGAAGTCAGTCATGCCAGCTTCACAACTGGGTATTTTGCTGATCAATGAACTTAAGAGGTGGTGGTTTGTTGTTTTATTTTGTTTGTTAGTTTGTTTTAAAGTTAGAGGGGGGTAAAATCTGTTTCTGAATATTCTAGTGATCAGAAATTCCTATCTGGATGTGCTCCCTCCTCTGTATTAACTCCACTAATCGATCTTGCAATTAGCAAACATGATGGGGAGGACAGCAACTGATGTGCTTCCTGCACTTGTTTCAAATAAAAAAAAAACATGAACCTTGTTCTTTGGCTGCCTTAGAGAAAAAGCTCCAAGTCTTGCATTAGAGGTTTGTGCACAGATAAATTTAAGGTCTGTTCTTTAGATTCTTCCTCATATGAAATGTTGGTTTTTGTAAAATGTTGTGAAAAAATTTTATTCCCCCACCCCCAATGTCAGTGACAAATTTTACATAAAATGCCAATAAAGGGATGGTGAGGAAAGACTGTGACCTCATTCTTACCCAACTTCCAGGGATGTTCCTCTGTACTGGATATCCATGTAGGGAAACGCAGTATCAGGATGAAAATACAGGTTAAAAGATTATCTTGGAATTATATATTTGAACTCGGCCTAACTGAGGAGGTAATACATCTCCTCAGACATTCAGTCTGTTGCCCAAAAGTAAGCATTGTTTTGTAAGTCTTGAGCATATTTTTCTCAAGGTACAAGTAGAGGAGGCTCCAGCTTTCAAGGAGTCTGCTGTTAAACTCAATATTAATGAAATGGCAATTAGTGCTGTCCTTTAAAACTCTTTGAATGAAGATATTTTAACTCTAAGTAGAATTTGTATTTATTTTATACCTATCAGCAGTATTTATCCAGGCACTTAAAAACCTCTTTTTTTCTCTCTCTCCTTTGGTTTTAAGAATTGAAGAAACCAGTGCAGACCTGAGGAAACAAGTGGCTAGGTTAGAAGAAGAACTGGACCAAGAACGAAAGAAATACACAATGCTGGAGATAAAGCTGAGGAATTCTGAACGTGCTCGTGAAGATGCTGAGAAGAGAAATCACCTCCTGCAGAAGGAAATGGAAGAGTTTTTTTCAACATTAGGATGTTTAACTGTTGGGAGTCGAAGTGCTAAAGTCCCCAAGTAAAACAAGCTGATGTACAGCATAGAAAATCATATTTCTGACAAAAACAGTGAAAATGCACATTTTGTTCTGGTATACTCATGTATCATGAGTAATTCCACAGTGATTGTGCTCTCGGTGACAGTTACTCTGTTGTCTTTACACATGTTGTAGTATTTGAGCCAGCTGGGAAAGACTGCTAAACATAAGGCTTGAAAGTTTAGATGTCAGATTGCCAAGAGTGGGCACCCTTTTTATCCACAAATCCAAAGTGTTCTCCATAGCTGTACTGCTGCCATGTTCGGACTTATTGCACCATCCTTTTGCTGGCTCAAGGACAGTGGAAAGTCCTGGAAGGTGGGTGGGATGGCCAGAACTGATGGACAGGCTGAGCCTGGAGCTGAGGGCCTCCTAGACTTGTGCTTGGGAAGATGCCAGTTCCAGTATTTCACCACATTTAATGTGGCTTTATAATATGGTTTTAATGAGGTGTTGTTTCTCTCTACTCCCTACATAAAGTTTGCTCAAATTTCTCATTCCTTAAAGTGGCATTTTTTTATGAAGATAACATGAAAACAAAGTCTACAAATGATCTGAAGATACCAAAATCTTGACAAGTCACTAAAATTGCCCCTTACCCATTGAACAGTTCCAGTGTTTCATGAAAATGCAACTTATTAAACTGTATGCGATTAATAATCAGATTGGCCACATTAGCTCCATGGAACTTTAAATATGCATATCTTGCCCTAGGTGTCTGGGGGTTTTGAGCCAAAAAGAGAACAGTATTCTCTGCAAGCAAAAAAAAGTTTTATGAGTTGATATGTACTGATCAAACATCAAGGTGGGAGAAGAAAGATTCTTATCATCAAAACACATCCAACTACTTAGGTTTTTTTATCTATATAACTTTAATAGCAAAACCTATGATAAGAAAAATTCCTGTAATGGGGGAGGACACTACACTAAAGGGGGAAGGGTGGGGATCTATCTTTAACCTTCCCAGGACAATTTACACTTAGCTGCTTTCTAACATTTCTCATGATACCAGTTGATATTTTTGTTGCTAGTTCACAGGGAGATGAGGGAACAGGAAGAGTCTCAAACAACCCATCAGCCCAAGTTCATTATCTCTACTAAAGAAAAATCATTACAATGAAGTTGTAATGTCCAGTAACTAGCTGCCAGGGCTGACTTCCCCTTCAAGGGACTTCTTAAAGTTCTGCGTAACATTTCTAGTGCTGAGCCACATGGAGCCTGCACACAGAAAATTGTTTCACCAGATTCAACTTGACCTCTGTTTGCCAGCCCAGCACTCACTGTACTGTTCACTCCTTCTTGGCACATATCTCTGACAGCTGAGGCAGCTTGGGAGTCTCAGAGAAGAAAGATTTTAATGGAAAAGTGCCATAACAACATGGACTGGCTAAAGGGAAAGTAGAGACTGTAGTGAAGGTGCTTGCTTTATTTAAGTATTTTCAAAAAATGACCTGAATCTGTTTTTTCTTACTAGACAAGAATATAACTAATTTTCTGGAAATAACATTAGAATGGGCTTTTTCTACCTACCAGCAGACTGTACACCTTTCAATATTGACCTTCTCCTCATCGCCTCACAGATATTCAGGTATTTCAACATTTAAACTTCTAGAACTTAACTTGTTCCTACCTCGCTGTAATGTTTCTCCTTCCTATAGCAATGTAAACCATTTAAAGTAAGCAAAAAGAAACATTTTAACCTAATCTTTCCTGGTTAAGACAAGTCAAGCAAGGTGGTAAGGTAAGCTGTGTGGATAGGTTAATTCAGTTATTTCAAAACATTCTCCCTTCTTGCCACAATATCCAGCTGTGCTGGATTTCCTTACTACGCCTGGTGCGAGCAGGGTGCAGGTACCTGGGTGTTCAGCAGGAGCAGCCTGCCACCCACAGGCAGCAGCATCACCCTGATCTTTTTTCCACCACTACCCTGCCCCCCCCCCCCCCTTCCTTGCATTATTACTGATAGCCATGACTGATCGTGCAAGGAATATGATGGCCTCTTTAAAACAGCAACATTAAGATGCATAATGCGAGAAGCAAGTGTTGTAACAATGACTTTGAGCTGGCACAGCATAGTGGGTTAGGTAGTGTTAAGTACCATGCCAGTCACCACTAAATAAACCTAATTATTAGAGTGGCCTGAACTGGGTCGTAAGTAATTCTCTGCGATTAGAACATCAGGGCTGATAAAAAGAAAGTTTCAATTGAGCATTCAAATCCAAGTAGGAGTAGCAACCAGTTTATTTTAATGCCCTCTTTTATTCCTACACCCAACATGGGTACCTTTCACTATATCCATCCTGACAGCCCACAGCCTTTCAACTACTTATATTGCATTATGTCCTGTATATATCAAGTGCAGACTACTCCCTTCAGTTCTGGCACACTACAAACTTACTTAAGAACTGAACAGATGCTGACTGGGAACCTAAAAAACAAATATGCAAGACAAGCACTAAACACCATTGCTGGCTAACTCTCAGTGAAATCAAATGCAGCTGGAATTCTAGAAATCCTTTAAGTATTTAAACTTAGGTAACGGCTACATATAGCCGAACAGGGGAACAAACCCACCTATCCCACATTTTCAGCTCCAGGATAGGATCACCTGTTAGCTCTGTTGTGCTGCATAATCTTACATCTGGCATCCTGGATAACATTCATTCTTCTTTTTAGTATTACAAATGAAACTGTATCCACTCAAACTGATTAATGGCACTAACCATTTCCCAGTTGACAGCTGTGACTCTAGCAACATCTATTCCTCTTGTTCATGAGGAATAAATTTCAGGTCATTTTGAAGATGATCCACTGCAGTAAATAAGGCCTGCAAGAAGCTGCAAACTACTCAGTTCATGATAAAACGCACCACAGTAGGATGTTAGCTCTAAAGCACAGCAAGAAGAGCATAATATTAATTTCCCATCACAGGCACTTATGCAATAAATGCAAACACACTTGTATTGTTGTATACAACCTCATGGAACACTACACCCTTATTTGAGGAAAATGACAGACTCTTTCCTAGCTTTAACTCCTGTTTCTGTACTCTCTTTTCTGCCAACTTCACGGATGTGAAAGCACACTCCTTATTTTGCAGACCTTTCACTTATTACAGCCCCCCAGTTTGAAGTGCCAGCTTTCTTAGCAAGCATTTACAAAATACAGGTTTGTTTGTCAGTATTAATACAAGACATGACAAAAGGCTCTTAGGGAGACACATTTTTACCATAGGTTCACCTGTGCATCTTCCCAGCCTGGAACATCCCTTCTAGTATTATGCAGGCAAAATAAGCGTAAAAAAATTTTCAGTGAAAGAAACCCAACACAAGCATATGTTCAAAAACAGAGATCCAAAGCCAGCAGCATTACAGAATAACAAAAAAAAATCTGTACATCTCCATGGCATTTCAAATATGAAAAGGAAAATTAATATCTTACTGAATTATCTACAGTTCCTAGCAAGTTCCATGCAAGCTAGCAGCACTATGGAATGTCACCCACAGACAAATCCCTGGCAGAGTTAAGACTGTCTCAGGCTTCCTTGCTCTATAATAATGTATTACTTGAAATCAGCTGCACTTTATGCTAACATATGCAAATAAGAAAGAGCATTTCCAAGCCTCACCTAATTCCTAGAAGAGCACCTCACAAACAGCTAGCCCATAGAAACAAAGCAGGCTGTACTCTACTGCCCATGGTCACAGTACCATTCCCTTAAAAACATACACAAAGACAAGGTAACATCACGAAGACAAACACAACTCAAGGGCACCTTTGCTCTTTGTTTAAAGAAACACTGAGATTTGCTGGAATTTAAGGCAATTAAATGCATTATGTTAGGATTTAGCCCCACAGTAGAGGTGCCAGTGCAGGAAGTGGTCCTGGCACCCAAGTGAGCTCTCCAGTAAGAGCTCTTCAGAAGTCAGACCCTTCACGCTTTCATACACTAGACAGCCCATGGCTTACCTCTTTCTGCAACGCAGGGTCTCAGCAGCTGTATTTCCAGAAAGAAGGTGGCTAGAGTTGGCAGCAAGGAAGTAAAAATAGACTCCCAGCAGTCATAAACACACTGGGTATTAACAGTCTGTGGCACGTCCAGAGCTCATGGGAATGGAGAAATGGAAGAAACATGTCACTCTGCCCACAAGTGAGCTTACACGCAGGACAGGAGCTTAAGTACCATTAAAAACAGATGAATTCTAAGGAAGGACTGATGGTAATAAGACTCCAATTGCAGCCTTATCATGAAATCCATGAAATCCACTCCAGCCTAGCAAGGAAGAAGTGCTAAATGCATAATGGTCAAACTTATTTTTTTTTTCTTTTTTATTTAAAATATCATTATAACCAATTGACATACTAGATAACAATGTATACATTCCAGTGGTGCACATGTAATGACCTATGGCATGACCAAGTAAAAAACCCACAACATTCTCAGTAATGCCCCACCAACAGCTTATTTGGAGGGAATAAAGGAAAAGCAGTAAAAGGTATCAAATGTGGGGAAGAAAAAAAAAAACTTTGTTTTCCCCAGTATTTTTAATGGTCTATCTTCCCCTTCATATTTCTTGGGACAAAATAAAATTAAGAATATACTTCAAAAGGGGCAGAAGGAATGATCACAATAATTAGGGGGGGTTTTTTCTCAACTTTAGTAATAAAAGTTAAAGAACTCTCAAAAATAGACTAGATATTGGGCCTACAAAAGTAATTCATCTGTATGCAAAGCTTACCAAGAATTATTCCTTTTGTAAAATGTAAAGGATGAGCTGATATTACTAGTAAGCTGTTTTTACCTACAAAACCAAACTACAATAATAAAATCACCAATTTACAGCTAACACAATATTCTAGATGTACATTATTGTACACAAGCTATATATTACACATTAACATCTTACGTGAAATATATAAGAAACATACTTACTGATATTGTCTCAACATTGGCCAATAGGTTTATTTTTCTATTCACATTCAGTGTAGTTCCAATAGCAAGGGTTGGCTTTGCTTACTTAAGAAACATAGAAAGTTTGTGTGAGGTAGTTCAAGAAAACCTAGCTTAAATTTTTAACTGCAGAAGTAGAAACACAATGTGATCTGAATCATAACATACTTCTGTAATGCAGAGATAGCTAAAGAGGAGGAGAAGGGAGTGAAAGAGAGAACTTAAAATACTGCTTTTGTCCAGTGCCCTTAACTAAGAATAAATTAAATGAATTGAAAATTTGGGTAGGCAGTAGAGTGTCATCACATTTCTTCATCAAAACCCCCTTCCTAATTGTACTGAAAAATGCAGACAGCTCTCCTTCAACTCCAGTCCTCAAACTAAATATGTAAGAACTAAAAAACTGATAGAAAAATAAATTGACAGCAGCTTGTCCATGCTGTTACAACAGCAAATAAAAACATGTCTAGAAACAGTAATTCAATTCCTATAGCAACTTGAAACAGTAAGACCAAGTGTAAGATGAACCATGTTCTCCCCTTTCCCCCATAATCTTAATCGAAAAACATTTAATGTCACACGCTTCGTATTATTGGCTGGGAAGGAACTATCCTCTTGTACTAGTTTTCTGATTGTTTTTCTTTATGCAATGTTGAAATGAATGCCAAATACATTAATGGAGGACATTATACTCATGCAAACGCCTGTCAAGGTGCTTAATTTTTGCTCTCTAACAAAATAGCCTGTGTTCAGAGAAGCAACTCTCCGTAAAACAAACCCACATCAGTAACACCCTACTCACTCGGGCACAGAGGCAGCAGAGGGTGCTATTGCCACAGCCACCTCAGATACAGTTCATCGTATCCTCCCCTAAATTCACACCCATGTGCTGGTGGGGAGCGGGGGGGTGTTGGAGCTTACTGAACAATTCCTGCTGACACTACCTTTGTAGTAGTAGTGGCTGGAATTCCTATCCAGAAAGATACTACTGCATGTAACATATTAAGGTTCTTCAAAACTAAAACCCCACCCACACGGGAAATAGTGCTCCGTCTGTTCATCCTAGCAGAATGGATGCCATAGGGGTGACCTGGTCAGTCAGGCTGGTCTAAGGTTGTTCAGCTGAGGGGTGTTTCTCTGGCAGTCCAGCTTCTCACACACACTAACACACAAAAACCTCAGCTCTGACCCCACTGTCTTCCATCAGCAAAAGACTTCACAGAGCAGATGTACAGCACACAGTAACAGTACTGATTTCCCCCCCAACACTCCTATTTCAAATTCTCGAAGAGCCTACTTCTGCCAAAGGAGAGGAGCTATTTTATCCTTGATGCCTGCCACAGCTCTGACCAGAGAAGGTGGAAATTAATCTCGTTATTATTGCCCAAATTTTAACCTCACCTGACATAAGAAATCAAACAGCTCACTGCAATTCAATCCCTACAAACTCCCAGTGGATTGGAGCAGCCCTAGAAGAGGGAAGTTGCAAGCACTTCAGTGAAGCCTGTTGTCATGAGAAGATTTTGCAATCATAGGCTAAAATACAGCTTAATACTTTCAGAATAAAATTATACAATGTATTAGATAGTATATGATCTAACAACAATAGACAAAGACAGCTGAACTCTAGCTATCTGTGGCAGCATAAAATTATTTCAGAGATAGCTGTATCTTTTAACAAGTAAAAAGGGAACTTAAGACTAGCATGTTGTTGTGATAATTTGATTACTGAATCTGATCTTGTATTTGAAATCTGTCAGCACTTTAATGTGCCTAAAACGAAAGCAACTGCAAAAAAACAAAACAAAACAAAACCCCAAAACCAACAGACCCAAAAGAGGTAACACTGCTATGAAGATGGTGCCAAAAGTGAACTCTAGGTCCCCAATGGCAAAACTCTGACCTTACTGAAATAATCCATTTAAACACAGCTCACTCACACTGCAATGTGTTGCAGCAGACAGTCTCACTCATTTGTTAACTTTAACTCTATCTTAAAAGAAGAAAAGCTCAGTTCTCCTTAGAGATTATGAACTCAGTGAAGTTACTACTGATAGGACACTGTGGTAAAAGCCTAGTAACTGTTTCACTCAATATTAACTTTAAAAGCAATTTTTCTTTAGGGCACTGGAAAGTGATAGCAAAAATTATTTCAACATTTCAAAATATTTCAATTATCACTGCAATGCAGAGGGGTCCAAAATAAATTTAAATAGAAATTATATTTACCAAATTCTGTTCTTAACAGCACCTGCAGGCATCAGAAGTTGATTTTTCTGTCTTAACGTCATCACACTGGGTTGATCAGAATATCATTTGACCTTATATAGCAATGGAGTACTGTTGTGTGACAAAAAATTTTGGCTTAATTCACAGCTTAAGCTTTGATAAAAAATTACAAAATAGACTGTTCTCTTGGTCTCCGTTCAACTTGAGCAGATTTTCTATGTGCCAGTGCTAGATGAATCCAAACATGTCCTGCCTGTTCTGAGGTAATACACAGTTTGGCAGGATCCTGTAAAAATAATTGCCTTAACAGATGTGATTTAGAAAGGCAATATTGAAATATTAGATATAAGTGAGGAAAGCAAAATTACACACACACAGCACTTACCAGCAGTCTAGCCAGGCCAGGAAAACAACTGTGCAGTTTATCAATTTAGTCATCTTTGAGACATTACCATTCCTTGTAACCCTGTATGTTTTTTAAAAAGACATGTTAGATAGTGGAAGCATTACTATCACTTCTATTCTTCTGAAACTTACTGCAAAGACAAGTTTTCCTCTTTCAATTAGAACTTCAAAAAGATACCTGTTTAACCCAACAAGCAGAAGGAACCACACTGAAAAGCATCAGTCATTCCTGGATAACCTCTACAGCCAGTTACATTATTTGCTTATGCTCTGAGCCTGGCAAGACTTCCGTATCTTTTTATGCTCATTTTTGTGAGCGTTACTAATTTAAATTCCTCTTCACATTCTAATTCACTACACAAAAAATGCATCTACACAAGGCAATCAATTATACAGCCTATCTTCACTAAAAATCTGCATTTTCCAAAGGAATAAATTCTGAATGATTAACTCATACATAAACTTAAGTCAGTTATACATAAATCATTTTGTAAATATAAAATGTAAACAGTTAAAATACTTCTGTAAGGAGCAGCACCATTTTACATGACTATTTAGTAACTGTTCTATATATTTCAATATATCTTTTGTTTAAAAAGTGTATTGAAACCTGGAGCTTCAGTGCTGAAAACTACTGAATATTTATGACTTAAAATGAACCATTATTAAGATTTCTGCTACACTGGTCTCATGGTGAAATGAATGAGATTAATATTAATTTATACAGCACTACTTCTCCCTCCTTTGGATGGCATATATTGCTCACTTAATGCATTAGCTACAGAAATCCTGAGGTTCTCCTACCACTTAATGGTTTTTAGTAATCAGTTACTTTTGGTGGAGAAAGAACAGGTGAAGTTTTGCCCCTATTGCATTCATGTCATTCCCTCTTCTACCCAAAAAGCACTCGCCTTTGTAGACAAAACTAGTAAGAAACAAAACTCTCAAGAATCACATATTACATGAAAGTATAGCTACAGCATATTCTTTTTCCTTCTTGGCAGTCTAGACATCCTGGACACACTTTGTTTTGTGTGTACAAAAACAGGCTACAAGCTAGAAGTAAACAGTTTATTGGCATTTCAATGTATTATTCATGAAGTATCCTCATGTTTTATGGTGATCACAAGATTTGGCATGCCACAACTCTGCAGAAAACATCACATTATTTTGTTAGGCTAGATATTTCTGCAGCTTTCAAGATATGATTTGCTTTCTTAAGTTCATAAAATCATTCAGATGAGGTTACTTTGCAAAGGATTGTATACTGTCTCTCTAAAAAAACTCACTAGTTGTTGCTCTAGCTGAAGTATTATAGGCATGTGGCCAAAATAAAAGAGGATTTTGTCACTGCCAGCACCACAGTAGTATGCCCACAACTACAGCTGGCTGCACTGAATTTTCTCTCCCACTCCACCTGGACAGAGACATATGACCAAGCATAAAACTTTGAAGGATATCATGAACAAAACATCTGGAATATATTCTAATTAAAAAATTGAAAACCTGTAAAATCTTAAATAATTCATTATATGGTAAGGACCACAACATTAATATGTGCTCTGATAAAACAAATCTTACAAATTCAGTAAAAAAAGATCAGCAGCATAATAGTAAAGCAAATATGCAGATTTTAAAACCACAATAAAAATTATCAGGTTTAATATTTTACAGTTAATTACAGCAAAAAAAAGTGGCTGCTTTTAACACAACTTACAGTTTAAAATTACAGCACTTTATGATGAATTCTACAATTATTTTTTGAAAAAACACTCAAAAATACCACCAAATTTTAAAGGTGCCCTATTAATGACTAAAAGGACCCCCCTCCCACCCCCCAAAAGACCAAGTAGTCATCTACAGCAACCCAGAGGTCCAGCTGAGGTTTCTAGACTGCTGTCTGTATCAGAGGCCAATGTTGGATCTGTTGACATTGAAGACACATCATTGACAGATGGCGATGAAGATGGATGTTGAGAGCCATTGATCATTGCTGCACCTGTGCTATGAGAAACAAAACAGCAAATCAGTTGCAGATACAGTTGCACAGTTCAGTACTTGCATTAGCCTGTCTCTTCCTAATAGTCATTACTTTCCCCTGTTTCCACAACTTTGAAGAGATGTGTCTCAATTCATTGTCAAGTTCAATAAAACCCACGTGTCTTTAATGTGAGGCTTAATGAATGGTATGTCAAGAACTACTGAACTCACACAGCATGGCACCTGTCAAATTACAGTAAATGTTAATGGCTGAAGGCTAAAAATCACAGAGACAGTACTGCATAAAGCCAGAGCTAAGATGCCCTACAAAATGTTGAGACCAAAAGCTAGAATATATCTACATATTTTGATAAAGAAAGAAGGGGCCTGCTTTCTTCCCATGAGATCCTCCCCTTCAGGCTGGGCAACAGCTGGTGTCCGGCCACATCACATAAATTCAACCTCAGGTATGCAGTGATTTTTCAGAGTCTGGACTTCAGTGAACTCTGAGTAGAGTCGGCACTTTGCCATCATTTTTCAACAACACAAACAGAGTCTTATCAATGGTCAATTAATGGGCACATTTTCTCTGAAACTCAGCAAGTTTCTGAAAGCGTTCCATAAGTCTCCAACATAGAAATCCCGTTTCATTACTTAATAGATGTAAGTAGTGGTTATATTCTTATTTGAAACCGTACCAGCTACTCATTACACGTCTAACCCGACTATGTCAATAAAGTAGCAGTACATACCAAGATGTTTCTTGAGGGCTGAAATGAATGAAGCATCAGTTACACAGGGACAATAATAGAGGAATTTACCAGATTATTAAAAAGAGATGTCAACAACATACATTTCATTCAAATAAGCAATATCTCAAAAAGAATTCAAGAGGTCATTTAAGAGCCATATTTTTGAGTTAGGTTACTACTGAATGTGTTGAACAGCTTTACTCCCTCCCAACCTATAACTCAACGTAGCTTTGTACTGTGCTTTTATTGTAACCAACCTAAAGGGGCTGGTTGTCCACGTATAACCCCATTCTTGGTTCTCTCCTCCAGGTCCATGACTTCCTTGTATATCAACTCTGAAAATGTAGAGAAGGGAAGGCAAAAAATGAGTTTGCAAGCCCGAGACTGGATCAATAATATATCTGCTATTAAAATGTACATTTAAATTTCACAGGTTTATTACTGTTCAGAATTAGTTTTCAACAACAGGCTGTAGGCTACAGAACAACTGGCAAGTGATATAAAAAATGTACAATTCTTTCCTGTTGGACCTACAATGACCTGGCACTCTTGAGAACACAATGACATTGCTCTAAGACTCTTTTGTCCAGGCTGCCTGGGGACCTGAGGTTAAACCAAGTCTTAATGACCACTCAGTTTCCATCAATGGCTTCTTTGGTACAGATAAACTCGATCAGCAATCTTAAAGGAACAGGTAGGAACAAGCCCAAATAGCATTGCCATCCTCCCAAGACACATTTGCCACTCAATTTCCTCAGCAAGAACATCTAAAGGTCCAGATCACCATGAAACGGAATACAATATTGGCATATAAGCAGCTACTCCAAATGAAAGCAGCAACTTTATCTTCCAGTTACAGAAGTTCCTCATCCTTAAACAGGTTAGAAGTGCTTGTAACATGAATCAATCATATACCCTGTGTACTGGCCAGAAGGTTTCTAGGCTAATGGCAGCTTATTACCCAGAAAAGACTAAGCATGCTAAGTGCAACTCCCAAGAACTGACTGTCAGAATACTACCAATCTGTCACTGGCAAACTAATGCAATGCACGAAGAGTTTGGAAGAAAAAAGCATTTAAGAATTATAATTTCAAGGGCTTTGAGAGTCTCAAAAGTAAACTCCAAATTGCTTGAAGTGCTCTCAGCACATCTGCTTCAAAAGCAAAATAACTTTGCTTGGAAGGAGGACGGTAAGACCATTTCCACAATTCTCCCTATCTCTGCCTGTACAATTAAAACTCAGTTTTTCTAATAGAAGGCAACTTAAAAGTGCGGTAGTACTAGATTTTACAGACTTGTGTCCATTACCAGCCGACCCAATGAAACTGTCAAAAACTATTCATGAAGCCTTTTCCTTGCTTTTTTCCTCTGAAGATAAAAGGGTTATACAGGTCTTTCTACACCTCTACAGTACAAAGTATGAGATTGCTCAATGCACTAAAGTCTTGCTTAAATGCAACATTTATAGCCTGCGCAGCGGTCTGTATCTGCAATTTTTCTTAGCACTAGAACTTCTGCAATAACACCAAACCTTTTAGAAGCAATTTCAAAATTAAACACAATCTTTACAAGTAACAGAGATGTTCCCCTTTATTATTTTACACCTTGTATATGACCGGGAAATACAGATACTAAACCGGTACTGAACACTAAAGATCATGCTCTTGGAGGTACAAGTCTTATGTCATACTATGATCCATTCCACACCTCAACCCCAGCTACTTTCTCAGGATCCCACAGCTGATAACCATCAGCATCTCCCCTACCAGCTGTAGCTTCACTATCTCACCCATTACTAACACACCTTATTGCTTCTTCTTTCAAATCCTCTGCTTGATTTAAAAGTGTACAGTTATTGCTAATATGCTCACTTGAAGACTAGTGCTTCTACTTCAGACTTACACTTCTCAACCTCCTGCCTCTTATTCAGCTGTAGCAGTTTGTCCGGAAGAGTCACCCTCCCTAAAAACACTGCCTTATGGTTTGCAAAAGGTGACTGAAATGAGCAGGTCGTAAGTTCACTACAGAGGTTCAGCACACTTCTTTAGGGTCCCAACAATCAAGATGTTGCGAAGCACTGATCTATTCCCTTGCCATTCCAAGCTGTTTAAGTACATACTATTAGGTTGCTCAGAAGAACCTCAAGAACAGCAAATGTTGAGGCCCAGGCCACTCCCAAAAGCCTCATTATAGTTAAAATGCCCCTCTTACCTTTCCATTCTTCTATCGTATGCTCCCTCTCATCTAACTGCTTATCTGGTATTTTTGGTGGAGGCTGAAAAACAAAACTAACTCATGATAAAGCAGTCAAAAGGGATACAAAAATAGAATAAATGAAAAATTAATGTAAGCACTCAGAATATGTACCTGATTTTAAAATACTGTATTTACATGGTCATATATTCTCTCATACTTGGACTCGGCCTATTTTCTAGATACTGCTACATGTTTTAAAGTTCTTCTGATTAACAGATTTTCTTGCATTACTGCAAGCATTAAAATAGAAACTGAACAGACTGGTAAAAGTCCCAAGTACAGCAGTCTCCCACCCAAGCAGCCCTTTTTACCCACTTACTCTTAATTACTAAATTTTCCCTTTAGCCATTATAGATCAGCAGAATTCATTTACATCAAGCATCTTTTTCTATTCTTAGTGGGCCGTCATCAACCATGTTTCTTTTTTAAAAAAATTACACTTTTCTCATAAGCTGAAACTGTCCTGGAATTATGTTTAAGAAAAATTTTCAGTTAATCCCTCCGTTAATTAGTGTTAATAATTGAAAGCTCAGGATCTTGTATTTGGATTTTGCTGAAACACTTATTTTCTAGTTTAAGAGTACTATTAACTGCTACAAGAAACTAAAGTATTTCTCTCACCCTCTCGCCCAGGAGTAAATACCTCAGAACCCTATTAAGGGCAATCATACCACACTGAAAGAACTGAAGCTCGATAAATTAGAACGCTATATAAAAGATTTCAGATGCATTACTACATGTCAAGGAGATTATATGCAATTACACACGAACACACACAGAGATACAAGCACTTCAGTTTGTGCCAATTCCCCATTCTGTTTCTAATAAACATGTCTATTGATGTCAATAAGAATTATTACAGCTCAATTAAGCTTCTAGTAAAATGTGCAGATCATGCAATAATCTTCTTTCAAGTAGTTATATCAACCATCAAAAGTTTGCTTTAGTATAGCACCTTTCTAATCAGAGACCTAAACCAAGAACTTACAGCTTCTGCTTCTGATGGATCATACCAAACATTGATATATGGGTGCTGCAGGGCTTCATCCACAGAGATTCTTTTAGAAGCATCTATAACCAGCATTTTTGATAACAAATCCCTTGCTTGACTTGCTGCAAAAGTGAAATTTTCTATTTAGACTTTAGATTTAGTGCCATATATAATGCATATAATGAAGTATTACAAAGCTCGTAAGGAGAAAAGACCCGGCATAAATAAGTTTCAGTTTAGCATCTATGCAGCCCTCACATAATTTGGGGTTTAGAAAAGTGGCCCATCTGATGGAAAAAAGAAAACTGGAAAATAACATAGGCCGGAAAGGGGTTGGACATGTTTCACTACACATTTTCAGCATACAGAGCCCCTTGGTGTGACATCCTTATGTGAAATATAACTCAGCTGGCAACACAGCCTTGTCTGGAATAGCAGTGGGTAAGCACCTACTACCCCTCTCAGTTTAAAGGGAGAAAACTGTCATGTACTATTATTCACAGAAAACATGGTGAGTCTGTGACTCCACTGAGCAAGTGACTTTTAGAACAAGTAAGTTATTTCAGTATCTACAGGCTAAATATATATTATGAATATACAACCTTTATGTTAATCCATAGAGAAAGAAGATCTGCTCTGCCTACAAAACTTCTATTCCACCTTCCCCTCCCTCTTCTCTAAATCATGTTGGCATCTGTCATTGAGAGGAATATATATATATTTACTTTTCTTTATAAAGGTATCTCCAGAATAGGAGTTGTTTCAGAGATGAGAAAGTGGAGGCGAGCATACACCAGCATGTTCATCCACTCCCATGATATAAATATTGCAATATTTAAATCTTTAGTGGGATGATTTTATAGTGAACAAAACCACAATAGATTTTTGTTCAATATATCAGAGTTTTACAACTTCTGAAATATACAGCACACAGAAGATAGACCTTACCTTTAAGCTTATTGTGTTCAGAGTCAGCTGGGAAAAGGACATCCGGAAAGAGTTTTTCAAAACTATATCCAGCATATTTAGGTCTGTTCTCCACATAAGTTCGCACTGTAGGCTGTAATTTCTTCATAAATTCAGGGCATGGTGTTCCTAGCTGCTCTATAACTTTATTCCATTGATCAATATCTAAGGTTACGCAGCTAAGAAAAACACTGTGCTAATTTTCAGCTAAAAAGTTATGTTAAAATGACATGAAATAACCAACAGAGAGAAAACACAGAAAATCATAACATATTATCAAGTTCATCATCATTAATTAGGACTACCTTCTTAGAGAAAACGGTGAAACAAAGCAAGACTATGATAGCATAGTCAAGGCAACATGTATTTTACTCAAAATCATAATTAACCAGCAAAGGATATACTTCTGAGAAACAGAGAAAATTAAATTTGTTTAATACATTTTGTGAGTCTTTTAAATAATGACATTATTTGGGTTCTGGAGAAGAACTCACTTCCTGACCTGAACATGTATTCACACTAGTCAAGCCACTACACATCACCAAGGCACTCGTGAGAATTACCAGTATAGGTGCTTTGTCCTTCATTCTCATCTTGATACCTCAACCGAGTCCTGGACTCTCCCAAGTTAGTGATCTCTCACTAACAACATTCAACACCGAGCACCAGTGGACACACAAAGGATGAAATCTTGGCCCACACAGGTCAATGACAATTCTGTCAGAGACTTAAATGCAGAAGTTAAAGAGTTTCAAGGACAAGCAAGCAACATAACTGAAAATTTTATACAAGGTAAAGGGGAGATTGACCAGTTCACAGCAGCACTTTAATATGTGTTACTGAATAAAAAAAAATGTTTGGCTCATGAATTCCTAGTTGCAGTTAGTTAGATGCTGGGAGAGAGCTCAGCTAAAATTTTATGTATGTTTATCTCATTCATATATTCTCCCCAACTTTCTCTCTTTGGCTACCATCAAAGACGGGGTACTGGGCTACCTAAACCTTCAGCCACATGTAGCAGGCCCTCTCATTTTATTCAAACTTAACAGCAGGACTTTATATAAGGATTTTCAAGCTCTAGAGTGCTTTAGTACAGGCCCTGAAAAAAAATAGTATTTAAATTGTATGGCACCAAGCCTAAACTGAAAATCCATGCTAGCAAACCAGATACATAAAGCTAAGCATGGTGCAGCTCATGCAATGACAGAGCTGTGTGAAAGTAAGGATGCCCTGGCCCTCCTCACCGTGCCTCATAATCTTTACCCAGTCTCCATCCCTAAATGGTACTATATCAGTTATTAAAGGGTTAACCTGCAGTAAAAGCAGGAAATATTTCTGATGGCATCTAAAAAACTGGAGTGTAACTACTAGTAAAACAAACCACATGACCAACTCCAATTAGATCCACTAATTTGAGCGATGATCCAGAGGTTTCAGCTTTATTGCTTGGAACAGACCCTTTGTCTGAAGTATTGTTCACAGGAAAACCCATACAGATACCACCAAGCCATTTATGGAACAGAAAGACAGAAGGGCCAGATATTTCCGAAGGCTGTTTGCAGGATCATTTCTGCATACAAAAATACAAAACTCCAGAGTGTAACTAATGAAGCTGGTTAGGAATTTTTTGTAAACTTTGTCTATAAAATGTAAAGAATAATAACTGCTAACATACTTGGGTACTAAACAATATTGTAAGTTATTACATAAAAATGATCTCCAAAGCAAAAACCAATGCAGGTGAACCATTAAAACACAACCTAGGCAAACAAAGAAACAAACAAAAAAAATCTGTCTTAAATGTGATAACATCCAAAAGCAACGGATAGACACTGTATCATACTGGAAAAAGAAAAAAAGAGTTAAAAAAAAAAAAAAAAAAAGGAGAAAGGAAAAATAAGCCTGTTTGCCCAAGTGGTATATTTTGTTCATCTTGCTTAATATTAATCTCTAAAGACAGTCATACACATTAATGCTGTGTTGTGGTTTTGCTTTAAATGGTAGAACTGTAGACAATTTTGCAGCTTCCTGGAACCAAAATAATGAACTTGCAAATTGTATTTTGAAAAGGCAGTTTAAAACCAGTATTTTAACAATTAGAACCACCTTAATCTGGAACTATATTGCTGCAGTATCTTTTGACCTTTTACAACTACATCCTAGACCAAAGGTAAGGATACGATCTGTACCAGGAAATAAAACACCACCTTTGATCATTTCTCCCATGATGCACCCAACTGACCAAATGTCAACTGAAAACAAAATGCAATGATATTAACATAAAAGATAGTTATTAAAATAAATAAAAATATCTAGACACACACACACACATGAATTGACTATAAAAAGCATGTGTAATGAAAATGAGTGAGGGTGAATGTATGCTAACTACAGGACCAGCAGAGACTATGTCCTACTGCTAGGTGCAGCCTGAGTATAAATTAAGTTCTTAATTTTTTTTAAGTGTATAACAAGAAAAATCCATGTTCATTTAATAAAAAAAAAAAAAAATTGTACGATATGCATTTTCATGACACAACATCAATAAAAAGGTTAATCACTTCCTAACTAATTCAACCTGCTGCAGCAGCACAAGGATACAGTCCCTTCCTGGAAAGAGGATTTTGTGGCAAACCATTTCGCCCATAATGCACCCCACAGACCATAAATCCACTATGTTTGTAGCACAAAAAGAAGGAAAAGCAAAGCAAACGGTCATTTAAAATTAAAAGAAGCATAACATGACTGCATCCTATAAACTGGAGAGACAGCACAGAAAGAAGAGCAAGTCTTTGTATTAATCAATGAAAACAATTTAAAATACACCATATATAAAGATTAGCTTTTAACTGTCTCAAACAGAAGGCAGGAAAACATCCTTTTGTTTAACATAGTTCTAGAGCAAAAGCTAGAGCAAAGAAAGCGAGAGAGAGGTACACATGAATCAAGCAGACTAAAGCCCTTCTCCAAGCTCTGAGGCTTGCAAATCTACCTCTGCCAATAGACTAGATTGGAGCACCAAAGGTAACTTTATTTCTTGAAAGTAATTCCACTGTAGCTGTAGGAGTAATTTTACAAGTAGCAAAGTAAAGTGACCTTTAAAAATATCACATATCTAAAGAGTTTATACTTTTAGTAGGAGAAGTAATTGGTTATTACACAGGAATTAAAATCTGACATCAAGTATTGCCTAAAAGTCAGATTACCATGCATCTCTCTCTCCCTTTAAATAAAAGGTAAACACAATCAGTAAAAATCACTTAGGATTTTAGAGGATCAGTTAATGACAATATTAGTATGTTCTTAAAAGATTTTCAGTTACAATTATCTGTTTAAAAATATTTCTCCAGTTATGCTGAAATAAAATCTTATACAAAAGAAAAACTCAAAAGCAAATTTTTTGGGTATGAAATACACATTTTCTACATTACCTTAAAATAAATCACTCAGCAGACATAACCAAAGATGTACAAGTTTACTTTTTACAGGTATGCCAATTTATTTTCTGGTTGCTTTCAGAGAAATTGTTAACTTTGTATGCAAAAATTTTCTTGAAGTCATAAATAATGAAAATAATTATGAAATTATAAATAATAATAAAATTGTATTATTATGAATTATTATTATGTCAAACATGACACTGGAATTTCAATTAAGCAGATAAGGGGATTTAAATAAGAACAATTCTATACTAAAAATCACATGTAAAAGTTCCGAAGGAGCTCAACAATGTCAAGCATATAATGTTGCTCCTTATTAAAAATACTCCTTCCCCCTTATTTATAAGTTCCTCTAAAATAGTATCTAAATCATATGATAGGAGATCATAGTTCTACATATTAATAGGTCAAAATTAAGGGCCTGGTTCATTTAAAAAATGATTGTCAACATTTTACAACTATTGGTGTTTTTTCTTTAAAAAGTCTTTTCAAATACTTAGGAAAGAAAAGTACATAGTCATTGGCTTAGAAACCCAAAGATTTGAAGCCAGATTTTGCATTTAACTTTTCAAATAGAAGTCTGAATGTTGACTTTTTCACCTGCAAAATAATCTGCTGCCATCACAAACCAAAATATAGCCAAATCTGTTGTAATTAGTTTGTGTCCAACATGATAAAAATGACACCCATAATTGCATGGAGAAGTCTGGAAAGAGAAATAACATGAGTCAATGACTTATCTTCATGCGTCAGATGACAAATTACTACAGAGGCAAAGAAAAATACTGAAAAACATTCTTCTGATCATCCTACAAAACCAAACTTTTGATGTTTGGGGGTGTTTTGGTTTGACAGTTTCATTAACCAAATTAAACCTGTCTATTTATAGGTCTCTAACTTTTTTATGAAGCTAGATTAACTTGTACACTGAGGACTGCTCCTGTGAGCACTCTATAGAAGACAGTAAAATTTCATTACAGATTTGAAAAATCTTTTAAAAAATCTACCGCTTGTCATACAGAGTGTATTTTATTCTTAAAAATCCTCTTTGGAGTGAACTTACTATTCTCTATTATTCGAAGAGAAAAAATACCAAGTGAAAATGAAGTTCAAACCCAGTGCACATATTAGGAAACTTAAAAATAGTTGTTTCAGAGGGTTTGGGGCTTTCCTTGCTTTTCAGTGCTTCCTTCCTGATAATCACGCACATAAATCTAAATATGCTAAGGTATGTGTGCATGAACAGTTTTGGTGTCCGTCAGTTCCGAATTTCTTCGAGTTTGCAAGGCCTGGTTTCTTAATTTAATATACCCAAATGTGCTTTATCTCCTTCAGTATCAAAACGTATGTAGAAGTCAACTCTATAATCACTTTGTCTAGGATCCTTGCTAGATTTTTAAAACAATTAAAGATTTCATATGTGTGTACCAGAAGAATACTACTTTGCAGTATGTAGCTCAGTCATCAAAATCTATATTGTTGATCCTCCTACATAAGGTTCAGCAGGGCATTGAAACAGCATAAAGCTGCCAGATAACTGTTCAATTAAACTAAATGTCAATGTTAGCCATTAGTTAGCTGTTCAATTTCAATATTTAAATTAAATAAGTTAACTTTTAATTTAACTAAGGGTTTAAGGAGCTAAAATAGGCATCAGTGATAACAGATGACAATCCTCAACAGCCCATGGTTCTTGCTGCAAGCACATCCTTGCCACCTGCCTCCCTCCCTTCTGCAGCCCTGCCTCCCTATCAGGGGAGCTCCACAACGAGGAACTTACAAGGCAGTGATCAAGCAGAGTAACAGTTTATGTAAATAGCCTTTTAATGACAACAGTACATATGGAAATGCAGATTGTCTTCTGACTCAGCTAGCCCACAGATTTACTTTTACGTTCTCCAAAAGTGTAATTTTCAACTCAACGACCATGTATTTGGCTTTGGGAAGACATGGTAGCTTTCCATGGGAAAGTAAATATTCTGCTGCACAACACAATTCACGCTTACTCCAGGAACAGGACTGTCATTTGCACGCTCTAGAACACGATCTGTTTAACTCCGATAACAGCCTAAGCAATGTTTTAGTGGAAAGAATATTTCACACTTTTGCAACTCAAAATTACTTAATATTTAAGAGAAAAATGTAAACTGGGCAAGCTAAGTCAGAAAACTTGTGACTTCCACTGTATCAATTCCTTCTGTAAGGCATCTGTATGACTCAGACTACAGCTTTAGGTTCTTTTATCTAGTGTCTCTTAAATGGCCAATGTAAAGTCTTGGGGGGGAAAAAAAAGAAAGACAAACTTAAATATATGCTTTCTACAAAACTTGGGCAGTTAAAAAAATAACTTTAAACTTGCTCTACTCAACCTCTGACTTCTAAATTACAGGGAAAATGGCCTCCTTGGTTGGCTATTTGAAGGAATGTACATCCTCTCATGCACACTAATGATCCAAACAAATAAAAATCACAGCCTGCAAAAAAGATCTATTCTCATTCCTTTGAGCTGGCTTCTTTCATTATCAACACTGATAAAAGTTATTCTTCTTGGCTTTTACAAATGACAACAAAATCAGCTCTCTATGCACACAGCAGCTATCATTTACACTCAACCTGAAGTCTCTTGCCATAATGGTATGCAGTTACCAGGCAAGTTTTCAGACTGTATTAAGAATCCTGAAAAGCAGAGCAAGCCCCAGTTGTGTCAGTAACCTGAGGAGCCATGCCTCACATCACCAGGAGACAGCTAACAAAGCCTCAAGCATCATGGCATCTCATGGCCCTTAACTGGAGGACTAACCAATGGAGGGTTTAAAATACCTTCAGCAAACAGTGACCTCTGTGCACTGTGTGTACCTGAGGTGGAAACACCAGGTGAGCTGAACTGACCACAGTGACAGCGGATCAATGAAATGGCAGCAGAATTGGAGCCACTACAACAGACTTTCAGGAAGAACATGTTACTTTGGTTTCCTAAAGGATACTAGCTGTTTCATTCATAAGATGAAATGTACTTGATTGTGTGTTTCCCTCCAATGCTGTATCCTTTCCTTATTTTCTTGTAGAAGACATTTAGAATAGGGCCACAGAGTGAGTATAGAGGAGAGAAATGTATGAGAGCACAGGGAGAAAGTAAATACATTTCCTTGGAATTTGTCATGGACCTCAAAGAATCTATCATCCTTCATGACAGTACTCTCTGCATTCTTGTCTCAACTATATTATTGAATTTTTCTTCAGCAACATTAAGAACCTAGGACAACAGGTTTAAAGTAGGCTGGTTTTAATAAAAGGTAATGTCACAGTAGGTAGTTTTAGATTGTTTGTTCCACAGTAGCCTGTACGCTCCCTACATCCTGAAAGGCTACACTGAATATAGTTATTTAAACAATAAATTTAGGACGCATGTTTACTGATGAATTACAATTTATATCCTCATCAGGAATGAAGTTAGGTGAAGGTATATCAAGGTGCACAACACGTACTAAGAAAATCTATTTCCAGTTCTTCCTGGATGAAACTTCATCTACCAACCAAGTTGTTTAAATTTTTAAACAAACAAGGCCCTCAATTTCTTCTCCTATTAAATGCAAACATTTCTAATGGGTTGAGTTGAATAAACAAACTGGTGTATCTACAATCTGCATTTTGGTCACAAGGATAATTTATAAAATTTTTACAGTTTGAAAAAAACATTAACATGTAAAATGTGGTGTGCCAAACAAAAAAATAAAGCTATGCCAAAGAAAGACTATATTTGCTGACCGTTTTCTTTGTATCCCATCCCTAGGATGACCTCTGGTGCTCTGTAGTAACGAGTCACTACATAAGGCGTCATCATAAAACTAGTTCCTGCAGTTCTGGCCAGTCCAAAGTCAAGAATCTTCAAAGTGCAGTCTGACTTTACTACTATATTACTGGGCTTTAAATCCTTTAAAAAGAAACATCATATATGACCGCTAAGACAAGCACGAAATACTCCATGGTTCACATTTTTGAAAGATAATACTGCTAACATTAAACCCCACATACACAACTAGGTCATTGCTGTAACTGCAGTTTCTTTTCCCCTTGTGTTAATTCATGTGCATTCGGTAGACTACAGAATTAATTCCCTTACTGTGCTTGTAGATTTATATAGCAATTAAAGAAGGAAAATATAACCAGGATTACATGTTATGTTAGCAATGTCTGAAATAAATTGAGGTTAGTAAGAAATGTTAGCTCTGAGGAAAGGACTAGAAACTGCTCACTAGAACAACAGTTATTACTACGATGCAGAACACCAGTAACATGACAATTACTGATGTCATTTGATGCAATAATCATCTTGATACAAAAGTTATCAAAATTGTAACATGAAAGTAAAAGTTTCTTTGCTAGTTGAGGCTGCATTACCTCTTTTGAACCAATGCAGATGCTTCTCTGAACAGGAAGTAAATCCTCAGGCTCACACAGACTTTGTTTCCCATTTAGGATTTGATTTTATACTAATTTTGGTGACCAAACCCAAAAGGACACCATTGAAAAACTGCCAGAAATTAACACAATAAATAAATTGGAGTGGAAAATGCCCTGATACAGCTTCAGATCATCTTAGTTAGAGACTTGGTAATTGTATTCTCTTCACTTGAGCCTTAAAACCACGTTGACCATAGTGGCTTTACAACATCTATTTATATGGACACTACACAGGCATACTTAGCCATTATCTCAGGGGGATCTTACACACATCCGAATGTCACAGAGCAAATATTACAGAGTAACTTCAGAATAACTTTGCCATCACAAAATCACTCGTAGCACACAAGCCGACATAGATAAGGTTGGATCCTTTCTGCCTACACTCTAGTAAGATTAATGAAAGAAAAACCCAAGATGTGGCAGAGGTCTCCAGCATTTCAGCTGCAAGGATTTGATAAGTAGCCCTATCTTTCACTGTTTCATAAAGACTTAAAAGTGGCTATCTGCAAGATATATGTAGTTTTCATTTGTACTTGCATGGCTTTCAGCAAACTTCTCGGAAAGCTACGAAAACTGCATTAAAGACAGAGGAAACAACAAAAAAGAGTTCTGAACAACAGATTTTTAATGGATAATTAAAATTTCCACATACGTACATATTCACACATGCACTTCCAAATCACACACACAAAGACTCTGAATACAACTTTGGTTTACAAGATTATCAAGCACCACAAATTAATTAAGTATTATAAGCCATTCCAGCTATTTAATATGCATGTTTCAGATTCTGCTACAATCCTGTTTATTGTTGCACATTTCTATTATTTGGAAGATGTTCACTGCAGAATCTCATGTGTGTGCTCATAGCATTAACTATACTCATCCTCCACAAAGCTGCAGGATTAACACTGAAAATTTGTTAAGAGATCTTCCCTTCACAAGAGAAAAATCATTTGAGGACAAAAAGCAACAGCTTACACAGTACTGTCCACCCTTAATTTCTGAACATCATATAGTTCTCATGAAGCCTAGGAACATGTTGTAATTGGAAATACAGAACTGTCCTTCAAAATGATGAAGGTGACAGTTGACTTACACTGCAGACAAATTCATGCAGAACCAATACCTCCCCTGTTTTAAATAAACAAGGACTCAAAAGCTCCTATAAAAGTGATCAAGTTAGTTAGGCTATATAAATATATGCAGAACCTACAGCAGAAAATATCTAGCCTAACCTTAAAAATGTAAAACGTCAGTGCCTAAAAATCAAAGGTTATTCATGGCTGTCTCCCCATTAACCAGACAGGGAGAGTGAGGCATCTGTGGAAGGTAATTCATGGCTTCTCATGGCCCTTTCTAAAGAAAGATTTGTGTGAAGGGCTTCCGTAATTAGGCACCTTTGTTAAGTGCTCAAAATCAGGCAGAATACAATCTTTCAGAGCCTCCATGCAAGACTAATGAGACACTTGGTGTCCTTCAGCAAGTCAGTGAGGCACAACTCTGCAACGCTGATCATTCATCTTCCTCAGATTGCAAAATATAAATGAATGTGTACTTCTACACTTGTTGGAAACTTCATCTCCACAAAATGTTTTGAACACAGTAATGTTCATTTGCCACCATCTGTTAAAGCCTGTGTAAAGCTTTACTCAAATCTTTACTGAGATCAAATTTTTATCAACTGATGTGGCAGCTAAGTATGCCCCCTACAACTTCTAGGTGAAATTGTCTGAAACTCTCAGTGATTGATCTCTGTCTTGTTCCATATCTCTAGTTTGCTATGAAGAAATCACTTGTTTCTATGGCAGGCAGTATCCAGTGCTACGGACGTATATACAGATTTTTCTCATTTGAGTAATTCAGCAAACTTTGAAAAAGTTACGGAGATGCTGAGATTATCGCAGATATGTTAGAAGCTGAAGAACCCAGTTAAAAAACATGTGAAAGTACCAACACCAAAACAAGCTAAAAGCTTTAGAGGACACTAAAGAAGTAAACTAGATTCACAGCCAGAATGCTCCATGGACAGCCACAGTTCTGCAGACTATGTTTAAATAGTAACTAGCTTCAACAAAATAATTAGCTGTAGACATTCAGGACAGTGGTACTGAAAGCCCAGAAGAGTGGTATGAAGAGTTACTATTGCAGCTACCTGATCCATATGAAATACGTCCCTTTTCAAGTATGCTCTGCTTGTCTTCTGAGGTTTTGTTTAACCCGTTCCACAGAGAAACAGGATTTTGATACTTTACATCTCATAGTGTGAAGGCATAATGCACACAGCAGGTAAGTAATGCAAATGTTTTGCCTGAACTTACTTAATATTCTAAAAATGTCTGAGAAGCTGTCAGTTGAAAATCTACCATGAAGCCACGCAAGTGAAATGTATCTGCCCATGTCCTTCAAAAGCATTCATGCATACATGTGTTACTGTTTACATAGCAATTGTATCTATAGTCTCTTTGTCCCTGTACTTCATATTACTGCACAATATGAAGCATTTCAAAGACTTCACCTGTATTTACAGAGGCAGAAATTCTATCCTTAAAGCTATCTTTCTTCCTGCCCAAAAATACCTGTGTAGTAACTTCCTTTTTATACATGTATGAATGCTTACATTTATCCATGACTTCTAAAGGTTCAGTGGGTTGATGCCCTCTTTATAGGAGTACAAACCACCCTTGAAGCACACCAAGTTTTAGAAGCTCCCTCCTGCCTGTTCTAAGATCTACAGAAACAGACATTCTTACATTACTTTAGCACGTCCATACAATACGCAGTTTTCCAAAAATAAAGACCTAGGAAAACCCACACGATTAAACTTGCATACCTAAGCACTGAAGAGACCAGAAAATGTGAAGCTGCCTACAAAACCATTATTTAAATCCCACACGCACATGCATTAGGACACAAAGGGCTGCATAGTATCAGTCATATGCAATATAATACCACATCTGTGGTAAACGAAGTAACCTGGTTTTGCTTAGTATTCCCAGAATAGTGCAAGAAGCCCACCAACCTGTCTCAATGCCTGCATGCAATCCAAGAAGCACAGGGTGCAACGCCCGGTTGCAGGCAATGCTTCTGCCTACCATCCCTCGTCCATCTCTTTCAAACACAGCAGTTCAGGGCAAATTGCACACAAGAAGAAAGCCTTCACCTCCCCTCCCTGAGCTCCTCTCACTGAAATGAGGCAATTAATGAGTACTAGAGCTAGCTAAGCAAAAGGAAGCACTGTTTGGCCATTCAAATTGTATTCTCTATTCAAACAACTGTCCCAGCTCCTTGGAGGGAAAAACAGCACACCGAATGGCAGTGTCATATTGCCAGACCCAGCCTGCAGGCCATTCAACACCCTGGTCATAAAGAGGTGGACTACTGAAGAGGACAAACACCCTAACAGCAATTCCTGTGGTAGCACTCAGAATCACCATTTGTGACTTGTTTTGCTGTGTACATCGCCCTCAAGGAACTGTGTAGTAATGACTGAAAGCATCACACATTAATAAATTTAATTATATCTTCTGCATCATTTCAGAAAGTAAAACTTTTAAAACTCTCTACAGAAATTACAAAGAAAAATGTAACACTGTAGAAATACAAGCTTACAATTCCCCCAAATAGAAGAGATTATATTTGAAAAGTTAACTAGACAATCTCAAGCAACCTTTACACTACACACAAACATATACAAGATGTTCAACAGGCAACCTTAAGTTCACAATTTCTTGACTGGATTGCAACATACACGCCATTTAAAAAGCAGTAGTTGGTTTTGCCTGTGGATAGTCTGACTGAATACTTTGTGACACACAGGTATATGAAAGTTCTATTTACAGGCCTTTATCATCATCTGTTTTTCTGGAGACTTCAGATGTTTATTCATCACTCTGCTAATAAAAGAGCAGAAATAAAATGGGCAGTTCTTTCAAAAGATGAGATTTCAGGTTTGGTTACCAGAACTATAAAGGTAAAGACACTTTCAGATATTCTTTCCTGCCACGACTACTAAAATAGAACATTATATAGAATTAGAGGAGGTAATGTAACTCACTGCAAAAATCTTTATTTTCTCTGTGCAGATTATTATCAAATCATTCAAACACTCAAAAGGTTCATTCCAGAATTACAGTGGAAAAAGGTAAGTGTGATGATATCCATTCAGCTTTCTCTCTCTGCCTATAAGACAGGCTATGGATCACGCTCTGTGGTCCTACTTCTGAGCATTTTCTGTCTTTTAAATACTCAAGGCAAAACCAGGTGCAATGCAAAACATACACAGTTAAGATCACTTACCCTATGTATAATTCCAGCCGAATGAAGATGTTTGATACCACACAGCATTTGATAAAGAAGATAGGACATTCTTTCATGGTCTAGCTCCATCTGAATCACTTGGCAGAGATTTGCATCCATGAGCTCCATCACTATGTAGCTTATGAAGGAAGAAAAAAAGAAAAATAATCAGGTAACACTGCCATTTTACTGTATACTTTGTTCATCTTTCTGTGTGAATATTCTCTAAATTAATTCTCAGCTTTAGTTCAAATCAGACTTACACATCTTGAAATTCTTCCAGGGATTTTTGTGGTGTGAACACATTCAGTAGGCCGATTATCTGTAGGAAGAGGGAAAGGAAGTACAATTGCACCATACCGATACCCAAGTTACAAAGTCAACATTTCAAAACCAATACCCAGTATTCTGATGTGAACCTCCTGGTACACACTGAAGCTCAAGATTCCCAGTGGCTCAGCCAGGCCTAACAGTGTAATAGATGATAATGATTCTAGGAGGAGTATTTTTTCCTCCACAAGCCACATAATCTAAAGACACTTTGTGTGCATTAACAAGATGATATTCAAAGCTTAAAAGCTATGGAAGGTAGTCAGTCTTCCCCTGCCTCCTACTTTCAGTTTGAAGAGAGCTGGTAGATTTTTATTGCACATGAGGAAAAATAAAAGTAAAAAGTGATGAAGACTAAGAGATACCACTTTGCCATTTACACAGGTGAAGCAACAACTCCGCCTTGAGAAAAACATTTTCTTGGAGTTGCTTTAGGACATTTCCCAGTTATTAATAATAGATGGGATGTGCAGAAACAGATCAAGCTACTGCTCATCAAGAGTCAGGCAGGCTTGCAATAGTTTATCATCATACAAATTATGCTATCAGGTAAAACTTCCTTCAGAGAATCCACATATAACCATCTTTGTCTTAGAAAAAATAGGAAGTTTTCCCAAGTAGCTAAAAGACAGAGTATGTCTTCGATGACTTCCTCCTTCCCTAGCAGTCAGGGGGAATTTTATCTTGCTGTAGGGGGGATTAAGAAAGAAGGTAAGGAAGACTGCATACAGTTGTTTGAGGGAAGAAAATGGCCAATAGCAGCCTTCTGTAGTTCAACTCTGATAACTTTGTCTCTTACTCTCTCCCCATTTCAGTGATCCAGTCTACTACACAGCTTCTTAACCATCCAAGTTCTTCTTGTCACACCACAAGATTCCTCATTCACGCACCAGGAAAAAAAAAAAAATTACAGGCCTTTTTCTCCTATTTGTCTAGCAGCAGCAACAAAAAAAAGGAGGCACTTACCACTCACCGTATTCTTATTTGTCAGCTTCTGTAAAATGTAGCAATATAACTGCCTCCCTTCCTGAGTCTGAAGGGGATATTTAAAGACTGGGCAGGTATTAAAACTAGTCAATAATAGTTCTTCTGAAAGATTCTTCTGTACTTACCATGGAGATACAACCATTCAATTAAAATCTTTATAATCTACTGAGGATGCCATCCTCTGAAGTCACTTTTAAGACTTACAAAAAATAACCTTCTAGTTAATTCTTTAACTTTGAAAGCAGGACACTGCACTCACATTTTTGTGATTAACACACTTCATAAGAACAAGCTCTCTGTAGGCTCTTTTAGCATGGGTTTGGTTCTGAAACGGTCGGCTTAACTTCTTGATTGCAACATTTCGTTCAAGGATGGCATCATAAGCTGCACTGTAATTAAAAAGAACATTATTACATCTCAGTGTCAAGGTCCTTTAAGCTGTGGCAGTTGCCACCTTTTTCAGATACCTCATACCATGTCTGCAGATAAACCAAATTTCCAGTATTATTCAGCTTTAGGGAGTACAATAGCAAAGTGCTCTTGTACCCTGAGCGATTCAAAATTTAGAAATGTTTCCCAGCTTCACAGTATTAACACATGACAATCTCCACAAAATAATCCAGGACCTCTGGTTCCTGAAATACTTTAGTAAAGATATTGAGTTTTTGTCACTCACTGGTAGTCAAGAACAGACCGCATAAAAAGACTCAAAACATTTCAAGCATAAAAAGCACATCAATTTTATGTAAAAACATCACACTAAAAGGAAAGGAGAAGGAGAGTGGAAAAGTAGGTTATGTAAAGGTCCTGTGCTTTCACTTATGCAGCTGCTTAATGTCATCATGACAATGAGAGAATCAATGTCAAGATGAAACAAAAAAAAAAAATGTTAGGAAAGCTTTAACATCTTGATGTCACTGGCTTTTACTTGGTAGAAAGAAAGAATAACATTTTGTTTGCAGACTAATGCCAAGATTGTCATATAATTCAGTGACACAGGCTATTTTAACTGATGAAGACTGTTACTGGGGACCACTCCCATACGTATCACATTTCCAGGACAGGAAGGCACAGATTTTGTTTCCTGTAAGAAGTAATACAATAGCTGACTGCCATGCAGACTCAGGAAATATTTATCAGTTACTAAAAAAGCCTCAGTAGGGAAAATACTGTTTTCTTGTCCCTTATCAAGAACAGTACTCAAACCCAATAAAGAACATCTGCCAGTAAATGGTCAGCATCTACTAAATACAGCCAACTACTTCAAAAAAAGTATGTTGTTAATATAGTACATAGGCTTGAATTATTTTTTTTTCTTTTTTTTTCCCACATCAAAAGCTCTAGTCACTATTGAAGAATGAAAAAATGGGAACAACATATACTGGTAACTTTCCTTGGTTGACATTTTCCACTATCTGGATTTTTTCCCACCTAACCCCAAGATAAGTAATGTCTTATGAAAGAGAGGCAAAGAGTTGGCCAGGAATGACTGCTAACATGGAATTCCTGTACCAGTATTTAAACTTCTGCATCCCCAGTATGTAGTGGTAGCATTAGAGTCTGTTTCAGTATTACACATGGTTGAGCTTTTACACCATCTACTTAACATTTCTCCAAATCAAGTTGGAGCAGGTTTTTTAAAACAAAACAAAACAAACAAAAATCAAACCAACAAAAAAAACAGCCCAAATCAAAAGAATTACACCATATCTCCTCCAGACACGGTCAAAATTTAACCACACGAGGACTCCAGTCCTTCTCAGTGTAATCAGAACAGTTTAACTAAAAAGGCTTCATTTACCACTAACAGCAATTACACAATGACCTGAGAGTAATTACATGGTCCATTTTTGGATCTCAGGTCTAGGAGAGGCAGTAAATTTGGAAAACAGGCAGTAGCGTATGACTGGGAATCAGAACAACGGTAATAACATCTAAAGCTTTTGTAGGCATTTCTGTAGCAACTAAACAAACTCTAGTCAAATAACTGTATGTTCTCATTATATTAACACACAAACAAAACTCAGATCAGTTTTTCTGCTGCTGCTACCTACAGACCAAATAATCTTAGCATTCGAAGTTACCATTTCAAAACCAACTCCTTCTAGAGTACTGGCCTTCAAACTTTCATTTGCTCTAAGCACACTGTTTATTATTAACGTAGCTAAAACACAAATATGAATTAAAAGCCTGCCCATACTATACATTCTCTAAACGCTGCTCAAGACAAGATCAAGATAGTAAAGAAATTACAGGGAAAAGTGTTTGAGAAGATTATGCTTTTCCCCACCTTTCTCTTCTTTGATGTTTCTTTTGTATTTTTATGTCCCTGGTTAGTGTCTTAAGAGTTACAATAAATTGGAAAATCTGCAAGTTGCTGTGCTATCTACACTCTTCTCTAGAACACTCAAAAACCTTGCAAGAAGCTTAAACCAACATTTATCTTTGGGGCAATGTCACTGCACAGGAAACAGTGCCTATAAGCAGCTAGTTATCACCGGTCTTAAAACAATCAGACACTTTTCAGTCCACACAACAGAGATCTTATTCAAGAAGTTATATTGCCAAGTCGTATTTTTCTAACCTGCATCTGGTATTTACATATTATAATGACAGTCAGCATCACAAATGCTAACCGGTATCAGGGACTACTTAGATTATGAAACTAAGTGAAATAGGCTCCTAACAAAACATTTCAAGAAGTAAAAGCATTTACAAGCAGCAAATATTACATAGAGTATTTATGGCTTTTGTTTCACTGTAAACAGTGTGGTTTAGGATTAGGATTAGTTTCTTTATCCAGATTTTTCCCCCCCATTAATTTACAGGACGCAGCACAGCTGGCTGAGTTCGCACAGAAGGTCATCACTTTGGAAGCAGAAAAGGACATAGGTCAAAAAGCAACAGCCCTTGCTGAGGAAAACCAGCCAACAATTACTACTGCCGTTTTGCACATAAAAGGTAGTTCTCCACACTCCTACTTGGTGACATACAACAGTTAAAGGAATCAGAAAATTCTATTGAGAAAACCTAAAAGTACATTTACATTTTAAAAAAAACCTTACCATACTATCCCTTGTGCTCCTGATCCTATTGGTTTTAAGTTTTGATATCGTTTCAATACAGTGAAAGTAGAGTCTCCAATTTCAACACTGTAGAAATTGTTGTCACGCTTGCTTCTGCTCATGACGGCAACTTAGTTAGGTTGCTTCATCCGAATTTTGCTTCTGGCCTGTAAAGAAATAAATTTGAAAAACTAAGATTTTACAACTGTATGTAATCTGATAAAGGGCAAAATTATTTATAATACAAGGAAGACTTCCCAAGTAAGTCTCATATGCAAATGTATATTATTTTTAATGTCTGCAGGAATGAGATGGCATGTGTCTGAAATGTTTTATTCTTAGAAATATTCCCAAGATAGGATTCTAGAAGGGCAAAAATAATAGAAAACCAAAAGTGAATGGATGGTAGCAAAAATCTTAAGACAGCAATGACAGAAGATCAAAAGGCAGGAAGATACATGTCATCCAGAGAGCTCCAAGAGTGCTATCATCCCTTCACACACACACATGCAGCAAGGGAGCAGGGTTTGGACCAGACACTCTCCAGAGGTCCCTTCCAACCTAAATTGTTGCACAATCCTGTAAATACAAGAGTGGTAAAACATCAACAAGTCTTCCAGACATTCCAATCATCAAAATACTCATCTACAACTGCCGGGAATACCTGTCACTGATGTGGAAACACATACGGTCAATCTAGGCCAGAAAAGGAAAACTCTCCTTGTCAGAGATCCTGCATACTAGCTCTTACAAATAAAAGTAATAAAATTGGGGCAAGAGAGAAGAAGAATAAGAAAAAAGGATGTATATTCCATCAAAATGCCCTCATTAAAAAAAGAAAGGCAACATCTCAATGCACATGTCCACAGGAGAAAAAAAATGGAACTCCATGGTGGCTTTTACTGTATCATTTCCTGTTTCTTTGACATTAACTGCATACTTTTCTCTTTACATGGGTTTTGGGTGCAGCTGTAAGAGATGTGTAGTAGAGAAAATTCCTGTTTGACTAGAAGAAGAAATATCTTAATTTATTCAAGAGCAGCAGCATGCTGTCTTCCTTTGTTACTCACTTGAGGAACATTCTCTCATACTATTATTCAACAACCTCAAACAGATTCTTAGCTTCTGCACGCCACAACACTATACATTTGTTAAATTTTAAACAATCTTTGAAAACACAGACAGTGCAAGTGTGGCCTCCACAAATAAACACAAATATTGTACAATTAGAATCCTTTTAAGAATCTGTAAACTTACCAAATTCCACTTTCAACTACCTAACCTGCATTCATTTCAGCTACACAGGTGCAATAAAAAGCACTCAGAAGTTCTAAAAAGGACATATTTTTAAATATTTGCTATATTATAAATTAAAAATGCACTACCTTCATTGGCATTTATTTCAAAAGAAACATCTATTAATCAAGCTCCTTTTCCAAAATACTGTCAAAAAAAAAAAAAAGACATTTCCTGTGGTGAGACGGCAGGGTGGCCCCCCGCTGCCACTCATGAAGATCTACAGTGGAGCAGACACTGATTTATGGCCTGTGTTTTGCATGGATGATCAAGATGACTGTGCCCAAAGATGGCCGGGATCTTGTGGGAAAAAGTAGCCCTGCTGTTGTATTTCAGCACTGGGGGGATTGCAGCATGCAGGGGTGTCCCACACTGGAGCAGCTCAGGAAGGGCTGCAGCTGTGGGAGGGACTCCAGTCAGAGAAAGTTAATGTCCCACGCCGGAGCAGCGTAAGGAAACGCTGCAACCTGTGGGAGGGACTCATGTCAGAGGAAGTTAGTGGAGGACTGTCTCCTGTGAGAGGGGGACCATGCTGGAGCAGGGGGAAGAAGTTCCAGAAGCTCCCCGCACTGAAGAGGGAAGAAGCGGCAGCACTGACTGTAAGCCCCATTCCCTGCCCCTGCACCGCTGGGGGAGGAGGTAAAGATATCGGGAACAGAGCTGAGCCTGGGAAGAAGAGAGGAGTGGGGGGAAGGTGTTCACAAGATGTGGCAATGCTTCTCGCTGTCCTACTCTGTTAAGTGTTGCTAGTGTCTGTAAGAAATCTGTTCTTTTTTTCTTCCCCTAACAAGTCTGCCTTTTGCCTGTGACCATGGGTGATCTGCCCCTCCCAGTCATATCTTGAATCCCAAGCCTGGCTTATTTGTCCCTTCTCATCACTGGAAGAGTGGTGCTCAGTTGCCCTCTGAATTTAAACCACAACACTAAATACCAAAGAAGCTTGTATCAGTGTATTTGCAGTATTGTTAAAGGCTTCCTTCTCCAGTTGATAGAGGAGTCATAACTGGACAAGAATGCTTGCCTAGCACAAGAAAATCTGTATACAAGCTGCAGATCCAGACTATAAATGGTAGCTCTGTACAGTAGATGTAGGCTTACTGGAGGGACCCAAAAAGCCCAATTTCTTAGTAACACACAGCACCATCCCCAGCTTTTTCTTTCCCATCCCTTTTAGCACTACATCTTTGGACTCCACCTCTTTCTCAACACTTTATTCACAGACATACTCACACAAACTGTTGGAATAAAGATGCCCAAGAAATACATAATGACAAAAAAATATCCTGAATTAGGAGAGAGAAAACTTGTTGTGGAAGGTATGATATCAGCCAAACAAATAACTGAAAATGAGAAAACAAAGGATGAAGTCAATAATTCACACAATCTTAGATCTGTTCTTCCTCAGCTGGGGAAAAGAACTATTGAGTTTATCCACTAAAACTGTATTAAGACATAGTGACACTGAATAATGTAGGATTAGCCAGAATAGCTTAGTAGATAGGGCTCTACTGTTTGGTATCAGCACCAAGATAATGAGAGTTTAATACTTCACTTTGGATAATTCCTTGGAAACAAATGCAGGAAGAACAGCTCCTCCCCATCCAATGTTTTCAGACGAATGTTGACACCTTCCCATTTAAAGGTCAATACTTTAAATAGCAAAGCCAAGTGTATAACTGAATTTTCTTTCAATTTGGTAAACTTCACAGGATCAAAGGGTAAAACAAAGCAAGTATAGTTTAAGAAAAGGACCCTGAGAGAGTATTCTCTTAGAAAATAAATTTCTTTATATTAACAGATTTTACATATAAACCATACACGGTGGTATAACCAAGTAAATTTTATTGATTTAAGGCTTTGTCATTTGCTACATGTTCATTACTGTAAAATGTGCTTGGCAATATGTACTGGGAAACTTGTACTTACTAACCATTTTATAAATCCATAATAGTATTTTAGCATATAACAGCATATAAAAGAAGTCCTTGCTTATTCTTACTAAGGTAAAAAAAGGAATTATGTGTGTATTCTGTAATAAAGCTCATACTCCTTTCTGAATATCTCTGAAGTCACCTAGGTGCTGCCTATCACCAATGAGTCTGTCACTGTTCCAAAGAGAAATTAAAAGAAAAAGAAACCACTTGTACACTAAGTCTAAGCTTCATAATTGAAAAGCCTGTACTCTGGACTATTACAGTAGCTACGCTGATCCTAAAAAAATCAAGTTTGGGACAAGGTTTGGTATCTAAATTCCTTCTTTCACTTTAGTTAGCAACTGTATGATGCACAGAGGCAATCACCAGGAAACATTAAGTGCTCATGGTCCATCCTCCTGCACTCTGCAGGTGTCCCTCAAAGCAAAGCCTCCAGGGAAGATGGGGAATCTACCCACGGGCTAGAGAGAAAGTGAAAGCATGAAGGGTAGTTTTGCCTATACATGAGCATTGGTGCCGAAGCATTTGGCCAACAGACAGCTTCAGTCTACAGGACTATAACATGCAGCAGGCCACCCAGCACCAGCCCACCATCTCACTCATTCTAGGCAGTCTCTTCTCCGACAATCTTTGGTTTTAACACTTCCACATTCTGCTGTGCATGTGGAACAGAAAGCTCACCTCTCTCAAAGAGCTGTGTCCTCACCTGCCTTTCCATGCCCATGGAGAATACCAGGCTTACCTAAAGAAGATATGCTCAACTAGGCCTTTTCAAGAGTCAGAGTACAAGATGATTTTGCTCCCCAAGCCTGAAATCAGCTAGAGCCAAAGTTTCTTTTCACTGGACTGCCTGAACAGGGAAAGGAAACATCTCTAACATCTACTTAATAATAAAAAAAGATACATTCAAAAATTCAAATATTTTAAATCTATCTAGCTATTAAAATTTTTTTAAAAGAGAAACTATTCCAACATAGATTCCTAAGGCAATATATTGTAGATATACTATATCACAATTCAGGGCATTTTAAGAGTTACAGTTAGAAAATTAAAATAAATAAATAAATCTGGTAAACTCTCTAGTTCTAAGAATTATTACATTCCTATCTTAATTCCACACACATTACAAACTCCTGCTGTCAATGGTTTAATTATAATTGATTACTTAAAAAAGAATGAGCTAAGTGTTTGAGGGCCATGATTCAGTGACAGTCAGATATAATTAAATGTGCCTCGACCTTGCTGAAAGATTCACCAACTGATGTCAGTCATGATACTTAGAACTTAAAAGAAAACAAAAAAAAAAAAAAAAACCAAAAAAAAAAAACCAAACCAACCAAACAAACAAAAAATCAACAACCAAAAGCAAACAAAATCCCCAATTAGTAAAGAATAAAGAAATAAAATGGAAAAAAAACATAACATTTTAAAAGGCTTTCCCTGCTATTGGACTCTCTAAAATGTTAAAAAACATGCCATACATTGTATCTGAATAATACTGAACAGCCTACAGTGCACTGTCTCTTTCTACTGACAGTTGAAAAACCTCAGTCTTCTAGTTGCCAGTGTACCTATTTAACTTTTTACAAAATAAAGTACAAGAAAGCTTCAGCGAATGCTTCCCCCTTAGTCATAAAACTTGTTAAGTAACTCTTGCTTATAACAGATGTTCTTATAATAGCTGTGGGTATTCTGTAAGAGACCTGACCTACCTGAACCATGCCTCAAACACACCACTACTACTTTGACCCATACATCACTAGCGTTGCAAGACTGTGGAAACTGAGTTTCTCAGACCACTATTTGGCAATATTTCCAAGTCCTAGGAAGTGAGTGAACAGCAAGTCTGAAGAGATGGGTTTTGCAGTGGAAATACTGCTTTTGCAGGAACTATTTACAGGAGGAAGCATGTAAAAAAAACCAGCCCTGCTCCATGT